GCGCTCTCTGTTTAGCGGCAAGATTGGCCCTGGTAATTTCTCTCGCTCGTCCACCGCAAATTCCGCGTTTGACCAAGCTGCTGGTCCTGGTGGCGAAGCAATTCCTCAGAAGAGGAGGATATCCGACATTGCCAAGGTATCCGGTATTGCTGGCCTATTTAGTCGTTCCCGTCAAGATCGGACTTCATTAGGCCCAATGCCCACATCCCAGCAGAGCAATGATGACCAAAGGCAGGCCTCTCAAGCGACGATCCAGGCACCGCCTATGCAACTGCCGTCTTTGGACTTTGCATTTGACCCGCTGGAATCAATGTCCAGCCTGGGATTCGAGGAATCACTCCAGGATTACCGCCACGAAGAGCAGCCTGCTCAGAAGCACCTTGCCAACCCTCACCTTCACTCTGCTCCTCTTGACAACCAAGCTAGAGCAGTCTCTCCGCTGTCCAATATTGTGAGCGTCCAAGACGAGGCAGCTCCTGCAGCGGTGACATCGCCTCCAATTAATCAATTAACACAGGGAATGGGCCAGGACAATTTGCAAGTCGGCCACAATCTTACGGGCGGCGAGGGCTTGGAAGCGCAGCTCGGGCTCAAGGCTGACTCGACGACGGACGAAAAGACTCCCAAGCTTCAGGATTTCATGTTTCAAGAAAAGATGGCCGCTCTCCAACTTGGCGGATTGGACGATAACGTGAGCGAAGAAGAGATTTCAAGATCACAAACAGTGTCTCCAGACATTTCCATATCGTCCAATCTCAAGGCGGAGGAGCACATCCCTGAGCGAAATGAGATTCTAATTACGCCGCCTCCTGAGACGTCTCTTCCTCCACCTGCTGGTCCTGATACCATCAATCAGTCTGCTGCTCCAAAGGACCTGCCACCACCATCGATCCATTCTTTCCCATCCGTCTCTTCGCTTCGTGAAAAGTCGGACGCCAAGTCCGTTCAGCAGGAACAAGTCTCTTTGCACCAAACCAAAGAAGAAGAAGAAGCGGCAATTTCCCGCGAAGCCTCGCCACAGATTCCAAAGTCGGAGGTATCTAGCAAAGCTGTAACGCCGGCATCTGAGCACCAGCTGTTGCACTCGCCAGCTTTGGCCGCTGTGAAGCTGCCAGAGGCGCAGAATGTCGAACCGCCAGCCACTCTCCAGTCCCAGGTTCGGCCTGAATCCCACCAAAGTCCTGAATCTCAACAGAGACCCGAGCCTCGGCAGGGACCTGAGCCTCAGCAGAGATCTGAAACTCAGCAGCCACCCACATCTCAGCAACGACTTGAGTCTGAGCAACAGCTTATAGCTCAGCAGCGGCCTACGTCTCAGCAGCGACTTGAATCTGAGCAACGTCCCGAGTCTCAGCAACGGCCTATACCTCAGCAGCGGCCTGCACTACTAGCACCAGACCAGAGACAACAGTTTCAGCATTTTTCTCAGTTATCAACTGTTCCTATTGATGGCAACCAACCAGCGCTGCAGCAGCGGTCTCAATATCCGCCCTCTGTGAGTGTTTCAAATGCCTCCATCGCTTCAGAGGCGTCGACCCCAGTCCATAGCACTCGGCAATCTGGACCACAAAACCTCGTGTCAGGACTTCCTGTCCCATCTGGGCGAGCATTTACTCAATTTCCAGACGCTTCACCTCAACCGAAAGAAAACCAGGGATCCCGATGGAAGGGATTTAGGAACCGAGTGACGGAGCAAATCTCCCAAAAGGCGCAGCCGCAGCAACAACAGCAGCCGCCGCCACAATTACCGCAGCAACAGGGCCAGGGCAAGATTCCAGTGGGAGACAAGATCAAGGCCAACAAGCTGCTGGGAGCTCTCAGACGAACCTCGAAGCAGCCTGAGCTTGTCCAAGCTCAAAGGCCTGAGCCGTCTCCCAGCGCCAGACAGCTTCCACACCCGAACCCACAGCCTCGTCCGCAGGGATATCAGCCGCAGCCTGGACAAGTGCAGGGGCAGGGGCAACGGCCTGTTGCAGGTCAATACATGCAGCCGTCTATGCAGCAGCAATCTACGCAGCAGCCCATGCAGCAGCCCATGCAGCCACCTAATCTTCCCAGAGCAAAGACTATGCCCCCTGGACCTTTGCAGCAGCAGGGCGCGCCGCAAGGCCAAACTCGTTCATCAGAGCCGCGTTATGAAAGCGTCCCGATTCCCAGAGGCTATGCAGCAGTGCACGGCGAGGGTAGAACCGTGCTGTCGCCATATCAACCCAATCCTCGTCAACAGATGCCACATGGTCAGTTTGGTCCTGTACCATCACACATGCAGCAGCAGCAGCAGCAGCAGCATCTTCACCCTCAGCAACATCCGCAACATCCGCAACAACATCTGCAGCGACAATGGCAGGGAGCTCACCCTCCACCCATGAGTCATCAGCATCAGCACCATCAGCCTCAGCCGGCGCAATATCACGGGGCCCAACAGTCACCTCTAATGGTTCAAGGCCCGGTTTCGGCACCTTTGCCTCATGAGAGACCTCTGCATATGAGATTTCCATCCGATCCTCGGTCTGACTACTTCAACTCCCAGAGCCCCAGCTCGCTGAATGCCCAGCACAATAGGCATCATTCCCAAAGTAGCCAGAACAGCAAAGCTGGTCTACCACGGCCATCCAGTGACTTGGGCGGCAATCTGGCAAAATCGCAATCGGCCAGCCCAAAGCCATCTGAAAGAGAGAACCTACCTGTCGCAAATGGTCTTGGGTCTGCCTCGCGAAGCCCAGCTGTGTCGGTAGGGGCCGATCAGAAGCCAGATTTGAAACATGAAACAAAATCAGACAAGACTGCCGAATCGACTCGAGCTTCAAGCCTCGGCATAGATATAGAAAAGGCTCAACAGCTGGAAGAGGACGATCTTTATTCTGCTACACCTAGAAAGCTAGAGAATGGCGTGCAACCCACTGTATCTCGAACCTTGTCGAACGAGCAGGCGGAAGCCGCGCAGGCAAACGTGAAGCGATCTAATACTGTGGTGGCTGAATTAGAAGACACCGAAGAAGCACGCAAGCGAGCCATTAGACTGGCATCACAAGAGGAGAAGATATTCTACGAGCCCGAGGACGAGACGCCCAAGATGAGTGCGACTAGCTATCCCGGCCAAGAATGGAACCCGTTTGGCGAGCAAGAATTTGCAGACTGGAGAGAAGAATGAACTATCTAGTTCGCGGTACATACGACAAATTGCTATTTCTTTTTCCTTTACAATTTTTTTCTTTTTCTTTTTTTCCCCTTATATATTTAATCCAGCTCTGTAGTTTCTCCCCTAGAGAAGGACATATGTGTCGTTTCAGATACCCAATTCAGTTTCATTTGTACAAATGGCATGGATCAAAAAGTTGGAAGAGAGAAGAGCGATTTTGACCAGAGAGAGAAATGGAACGCTACAAGGGGAAATTGATTTGCAATCATGTAGCTAGACACAGATACAACTTGACTAGAATGGGTGTTTGTCAGTTGATGTAACAAGACTTTACTGTTGTTTTAAGCATGTACTATACTTGCTATAAGTGGCCTGTATTATATTCTCAGTAGTTTACTGTTGTGCATAGAAATCTCAACAGAGCCATGATTACGGACTCCTTCGGTTGCAGCAAAAACGTTAATCATACGTGTCCTATTGGAGCCACCTCATAGTCTTTCATTGTTACTCCGTAGGTTGTTGGTATCTTCATGTATAGATCATCACGTTGTCTAGTTAGTAATCCTGCCCTGCTTTAGGTAACATAGCGGCTCTTCCGGGGATGGAGATGAAATGATGACGGAATCGGTCGGTTTAGCAAGGCTAGCACAAGCCTCACATCACGAAAAGAGAAAATGTCGTCAAGCGTGCTCCGCATGAGGTACGGAAGTGGTAATATGATTTGGGGACTAGACTGGTTTGCGCTCAATCTTAATTGACGGACGCAGTACGGAAATGCCTTTTTTCTCCCTAAACGCTGAGAATGTACTCATGTATACAGTAGAGCGAGTTAGATGGTGACGATGACGCGTTTGCACTACGCAGACTATTTTGTACCCATCTGCTGTACGAAATGTCACACTGCAGGTACTTTTTAAAGTACAACTGGGGAATATCGCTTTTTCTTGAAAGCGACTAGCTTGGACGCAAGGTTAGGCGATTGGGAGCTGCTCTTTTTTGCAATCTGTACGGGGTGGTGAACGCGCTGTTTTGACGAACTGGTGTTGGCAATAGTCTGTATCTGTACCTAGCTGCCCCCATATATCTCAATGCAGAGGACATCTGATGGGGATTTTGGTTACGAGCGCGCTCGTATGAAATGGATTGGCAAAAGTGTGATACGAGGCCGCAGAGATGGGGCGCGCGCAAATTGTGCCTGATGATCCTCGTCAGTTTCAGGTAGTGGATTGGCAAATGGCGTAGTAGACAAGTGAGAGTGATGGCTCGGCTGCTTTGGAAAATACGAAGCGAGTATAGCAGTAATACCACCTGCTGCTAGCGGATGAGTGAACGGTAGACGGGTACAGGTGGCTCTATCGATGGATTTGCTTCGTAGATGCGTTGGACTTTTGTTTCTTCTGAGGGGGGCCCCCAATAGTTGGGCCTGTGGCGAGGGCGCGGGGGCCAGCTATTGATTGATGCTTGTGATGGGCAGCTATTGATTGATGTGACGACGATGGTGATTCAGAATCAATTGGCCGGGTTGGTGATGTGACGATGATTTGTTGGCAGGCAAAACGTGTTGAGTCTTGTCTCATGCGCTGTTCTTGTCTCTTGTTGTGCTCACGGGCTCAAAGCAAGGAGTACAGTAGTACCTAGGGTCATCAAGAAAGCCTCGGAAGCAGCAATTGAAAGGCTCAATTGGCTTCTTTTATCAAAAGCGAGCGTGACTGCCAAAGATGCTTGCTGCTGACTGGCATGGAGGCGAGAGGCTAACGGCACAGGCTACATGCGATGGATCCCTCTAGGCGCTCCAAGCAGCGAGATACCCCCTGCATCTGAGAACACCTGACGCGCCTTTGCAGGGCCTGGATGCGCTGTAGGCGCTGTAGGGGCCGCAAGGCAGCTGGTCCTTTTTTTCTGCACGGCGATGGAGCCTCGTCCCTGGTACCCGTACGAGGCCCGGAGTTTAGACATGTATCGAGCAGCTGCATGCGAGCGAGAGGCTCCCTGTTTTAATGGCTGCAGGTGAGGAACCTTCTTGTGCAGTAGCACGGCGCAGGACCTTTGTAGCATCGGAAGAAGGCACAGCAAATGTCACCCAGGTGGTAGCCGTCGTTGCTTTTTTTATTATTATTATTATTATTTCAAATTACTAGATACGACAATGCGTATTGCGTAAATTCATAGGTAGGTTGTCTTCTTCCCGCGATGCCGGCTATTGGCAGCTTTGGCCTCTTTAGCCGCCAGAATCAATCAACAAATGATGACATGCAAATAATTATGGAAAATAAGGAAAATAAAAAGCATCGAGACCACTCGCCGGGTACAGGATACATGCGCATCCAAGGATCGCTGCCGCCTAAATCGACACGATACAACGCGCTACCCCAAGTACCCAGTACGGGCCCTTGCGTGTTGATGATGGCGTCGCAGCGTCAGGCCTCTGTCATTCATTGGCTATTTCTGCATACGGCGCTGTGCTTTGGTTGGCTGCGATGGGGTTGTTGCGTTGAGCCTTGGTGCCTGACAAAGTGTCTAAGAAACGAGCGAGCTGAGAGAACAAGAGTCAAGTGAGATGAAAAAAAAAAAAAAGTCTCAGCCGCTGTATACGCTGCGTTGCCCAGAAAAGGAAAGTATTGCCTAATCTGGGTTAGGGTTATCGGACGGGCAGCGAAAAGGCGCTAGCGTCTGCAGGTACCTTTGCATGTCACTCTTGCTTCTTTCCTCAGGTACCTACCCATCAGCCATCACCAACTGCTCTCTTTCTTTTCGCTCGCGATGGCTTCATGCTGTTACGTCCAGCCGCTGTACGACATACCAACAGCATACCTACTGTACATACATGCGCCTTTACAGCTGTCACGTCACAGGCCACAAAAGCTGGGGGCCCTGCTCCAACCGCGATCCCTTGACTCGCCTTTTTGTTCCACCTGCCCCGGCTATCTATGTACGACGCCCATCCATGTGCCTCGTGGAGCTGTGCTGCTGCATCCAGTGCTCCACCGGCTAGTCCAAAAGTGCCCTTGGCGATACAAGAACCGCGCAGGGCAAAGAGGGCAAAGAGGCTAGAGAGAGGCCAACCAAGTTTCAGTGACGAGGGGAGCCTCCAGATAGATCGGCTGGGCCGCCTGATTCCATTTGACGTAGTACGTATGCACGAGCATGGCATCAACCAACCCGTTCGATTCGCACCGGGCCAGCCAGCTACTGACTGCTTCATGCTTTTCCCCAGCTAACCAGCGAGTCGACTTAGTCAATACCAGAACTGTTATTTTATCAAATCTCCCCTCTCCATCTCACATCATCAGCACCCCAGTTCTCTCCGCCGTCTCTCTCCTCACTCTCGGCACGGCATCGACAGATACGCAGCGAGCGTCGAGCCGGGGCATCGAATTCTGCCGAGTGACGCTCCGCCACCAGGCCTGGTCCAGAGCCCGCTCCATTGGGTGAAAACGAGGCTTGAGCGTGGCGCTGCCGGCTCTCCTTGCTTCTCGACTGGCACCATCGCAGGAGCTAGCACCTTGCTTGTACTTCTCCAGACTAGGCACGGCTAGTACCTGCAAAGTAGCCCAGTGCGGCTTGCGCGACAAGGCCAAGTTTGGGGCCGTCTTTTTGCCTCCCGCGCAAAGAAAAAGACGCCATTTGGCAACGGGCAGAGCGAAACAGAGGCTATTCGTCGCCCGCTTCCCTCCCTCATAGGCCAAGCACACGGCACCCCTCACAAGAGGCTTGCCTACCTATACGCTTCCCATCGATCTATCAGTCAAATCAATCCATCTTACTCCTCTCATCTGCGACTACTCCTCCTCCTCCTACTACTACACCACGATAGAGGCTCAACAGTTTCAACATCGACCTCTTGCGATACAGCAAACACAAAGACCTCGCTCAGCGAATATCAAAGACAGAGCGACAAGCACGGGAAACGTTGCAGCTGCAGCAAGCAACGGCGGCGTCGTACTCGTATACGCGCTCCCTAGACCCTTTTTCGGCACCCTTTCCCTCGCCCGTTTTTTATTGCACATCCTTGGCTTGTGCGCTGCCAAATCTTCTCTACCGTGTGCCGCGCTTCCTTTTTCCGACCGACCTCCTTTATTACCAGCTCCGTAGTCCGGCATCCGACAACGCCGTCTTAGCCCTCTTTGTTCCTGGATTTTTTTTTTTTTCTTTCTGGTCTTCCCAGTCTCAGAATCCCTCCGTCACTCTCTGTTCGACGCTCTGTTAGGTCTCTCTATCAGATCAGCCTCTCGCTTTTCCAGTTTTTCCCCATTCGGGTATCCGCAAAATCGTTCTGCGCGCGTTCAGCGCCACAGACGCTTGGCGCCTTCTTCCCTGCCAACTTTCTTTGTCTTCCCTTTTAGCACTCCTTTTGGCTTCTTTTTCTTTTCGATACCTGCATAGTACATCCTTTTACTTTCAGGATTACTACTAGTACACCTATTCGCCATACGATACCTTGCAACCTTTACAGCTTTTTATTAATCCTGATTGCGGCCAGCGGCAAGCTAGTGCTGGACTCTTGGCTTGCTGCTTTCTCAACCGTACTCTACCTTACTTTTACTTCTTTATTCCCCAACTGCTCCTCAACATCCTCCAACACCCAACCTCTCCTCCGCCATCCTCTACCAGAGGGCATTTGGAGTTTCTCTTTTATTCTCTTCTGCAATCAGGCGACAGCGACGACAAACCGAACCCGCATACGGAAAACACCGACAGTGATTTACACCAGTGACGGCATCGCTCGCGAAATAGCGGCGATTGAGTGAGGAAAAGGCACCACCCGGCTCACTCAGCCTTTGCTTCGAGGAAGCTGCAACTATGGATTCGTACGTCATACCTGCATGCATGTTCCCTCTTTCCCGCACCTCCACTCTTTGCTCCCGCCTGCATCGCTTGATTCCGACGTCCCGGCCGGTATCTGAATTTAATTTTTGGTTTCCTCTTTTTTGAGTTTGATTGATTTTACTTTATTATGCTTTCAGCATTCCCACCGCGTCCTGAATCTTGAGCTTATCTTGCCCACGCCTCGGCGACATAAATGACTCGTTCCCAAAGCAATGCGAAGAAACCATGGAGTCGCCCACTAACTTATCCTTCAGCTTTATCCACGTCGCCGGCTGGTCACAGCATTTCCCTTCCTCAGCCCGATCTCTCAGCCATCTGCGGTCAATATCAACAACGCCCGGATCTGTTGACGAGTCGTCCTCATCGTACAGGCCTCGACCACCGCCCAAATCACCCTCAATTTCGCAGCTGCCCATCATCTCACTCGCGTCAAAAGCATCGTCCTACTTTTCCAGCGGCGAGATGAGCACCCTGCCCGATCCCCGAATGCGAACCGCCAGTTCGTCCATCAATGGAGCCAGGCCCTCGACTTCACACTTGGGCATCGGCCACGACAGTGACGATAGCTTCTCTACCACCTCCCAGCATCCCGGCCTCAGCGACGAAGTTGCCACGCTCAGCACGAAGCTCATCCACGCCATCAACCACTCAACTACGCTTGATGACACATTATCAGCAACCCGCCATGATCTGGACTCTGCCCACGGACGCATTCGCGAACTGGAGGCTCAGGTGGCCTCTCAGCGCGAAATGATGGCCGGAGATGTTTGGATTCGCAAAACTACGCTGGAGAGTGAACGCAGAGACTGGCTGGCCGAGAAGAAAGTCCTCCAACAGAAGCTTTCCGAAGAGACCAAGGGCCGGTTAGATACAGAAAAGGAGAAGCGAAAGATTGAGCAAGAGCTGGAAAACCTCACGACGGCCCTGTTTGAAGAGGCAAACAAAATGGTAATCACCGTCAAGGAAGACGCTCAATTTCAGCAAAACATGTTGCAGAAAAAGAACGACCAGCTCAAGTCTCAGCTCACCGATTCCGAGAGCCTCCTAAAGTCGCAACAGGAGCAGCTGTCTGAGCTGAAGCAGGTCATGGAGGCCATGATGATGGAACGTGACGACCAGACCAACAACACAACGCCCTCAACTCCCGGCTTTGATTCCAAGGACGAAGACCACATGATCGCCGAGAAGCCGACCCCATCTCCTGCTAGACACTCTACCGATGCTCAACATACACCGGCCCCTCCGACCAGCTACATCAATCTGATTCAGCCAGTCATGCGAACCGATCTCGCCGCATATGAAGACTTTATTGCCCTTGCTCACCTTACCCACCCGCGTTCGGGAAACCGCGCTTCTGGTGGCTCTGTTGGCAACTTTGGACTTGGCGGCTCAACTTCTAGCGTACATGTTTCTAACGGGTCTACCTCATCATTGGGTGGCTTTTCAAGCAACAACAATAGCACCCCGCAGTCTCCCAATGCCAACAACTCGACAGCGACGATCCCTCATCTCAAGGAGACACGCTTCTACAAGCGCACCCTGAATGAAGATATTGAGCCAACACTGCGCCTCGATGCCGCACCGGGACTGTCATGGCTGGCTCGTCGTACTGTCCTGGCCGCCGTGGCCGATGGTTCGCTGGTAGTAGAGCCTATTCCGGTGCCGTCGACGACATCAGGCTTCCTCCCTGTCCCCAAACCGCAGTTTTACCCTTGCGCTCTATGCGGCGAGTCTCGCAAGGATGCAGAGCACCTGCGCAACTACCGTTTCCGCGTGAGCGAAGCTGACTCTGCTCAACGGTATCCTCTTTGCAGCTACTGCACCGTTCGCGTACGATCCACCTGCCAGTTCCTGGGATTCCTTCGCATGATCAAGGATGGACATTGGCGAGCTGATGACGAGGAGAACGAGAAGGCGGCGTGGGAAGAAAGCGTGCGTCTGAGAGAGCAGATGTTCTGGTCACGCCTTGGAGGCGGCGTTGTTCCGGTTCCCCACGGAGAGGTACACGTAGAAGCATCTCATAGCCGTCACCCAAGCATGGCTCAGATTATCGACACTCCCGTCAAGGTGCCAACGGAAGTTGATGCCCCCAAGAAGACCGATGCTCCCAAGGAGATTGATGCCCCAAAGGAGGTCGGTGCTTCCGAGGAGGCTAATGCTCCCAAGGATATCGATGAGCCCAAGGAGGAGATTGATGATGCTTCAGAGGAACTTGATGCATCTACCGAAAAGGGCGTGCCGATGGATGGTGGCGTGCCTTTAGAAAAGGAAGAGGACGCATCAGTTGCCGATACAAGCTTCGATACAGCTCCTCCTTCCGAGGTCGATGACGATGGCAGCGAATTCGAGCCGGGACGCCGTGAGTCTACCGATGAGCCTCACACGCCTCAAGACCAGGAAGACGGAACCAAACCGCTCCGCTATTCGGTACAATCCTTGACCCTGGAGACTATGAGCAGCTCGGGATCTGAGGCCACCAAGCGTCTTTCTACTACCACCATCATCGAGAACTAGAAAGCAAGGACGAAAACGAAACTACGATACACAAAGCGGCTTCTGAGAAATTCCTTCCCCCAATTTTTTAACTTACATTTTTTAATGCTTTTTCATGGCCTTTTTTGGCTATTAATGTATATTGTGTATAATAATCAACGACGAGGTGACATTACGGCCCTGCACCAAAAAGTCCGAAGATTTGAACGGGTTAGGCGGGGCAGATGATGGGGAACAGCTAGATTGGCGAGCAAGTTTTGGTTAATGGCTGGAAGCAAACGATTTCAATGCTGAGAAGGGAACGAAAAAATAACCATTGCTCAAAGGTTGACGGCGTTTTTTGGTTTGGACACGATGGATACAGGGCATTTGGAAACCAGCAGAAATGGGCTGTCAAAGCATCATTAAGGCGGGACTCGATTCTTCGTTGCTCTATTTTTATCTTCTTTTTTTTCTTCTTCTTTCAAATATTTCTTTGTCTGGTTCTGGATTGGCCCTTTTCTCAGTTTTGCAGCTTCTTTTCTTTTTCTTGACAGTCTTTTTTTTTTTTTTACCCTGGTTGACTTTATTGTTTTTAACTGAAATCATATTCGAGCGGGCGCACCATGGAAAGCATATTGGGGAATGCGCACGCTTGGGCAGTTTGCCGATTCATCTGCAAATTACTAGAACAAGGGCCAGGAAGGATTTGTTTCGTTCTCAGACAAAGAAGGGGGATTGCCGTTGGTAGCGGCGTTTTTGCGATAACACATATACCTAATGAGATAGATGTATTAGAATTAAACATGGTATCTTGATGCTCTTCTTGCTCATCTTTGATGTTTCTGCTGCTTTGAAAATGAAATTGTGACGAGAGGGCGACAACATAGCGTCCACTCTTTGCGGTTATTGTTACTTCAAAATCTCGAGAATGTTGGAGACATCATATCCACGCTTCACTATTGTTGTTATTTCAGAAACTCAAGAATGTTGGAGACAACAGTGTCGGGAACCTGTTCTGGAATATAATGTCCAGCCTCAATGTGCTCGACCTCAACTGGCACGCCATCCGCAGTGACGTGTCTCCATTCCTTTTCCACATCAAACAGCCGACTGACGACGCCCCTTTTACCCACCAGGACTCTGATTGGCGATTGAATTAGCCTTCCTTTGTCGAGATCCTCTCTCGCCTCATCAAGGTCATGTGTGGCACTCGCACGGTAGTCCTGGCACGTAGCGTGGACATAGTCCTTATCCTCCATACACTTGACGTACTCTTCCAGAGCGTCTCTGTGGAAGAGTGGATGCTTCCCAACTCCCAGGAACATCTCGACGAGCTGGCGCGGAGCCCCATTGATAAGCGTCTCAGGAAGAGGATACGGCTGGATGAGGAGATACCAGTGAAAGAAGACTTTGGGGAATTCGGGATTTGGCGAGTTGTACATGGCCAGGGTGGGACATATATCAAGGAGAATGGCCTTGCGAACACGGGTAGGATGATCAACGAGGAGCTTGTGAGCGACACGGGCTCCACGATCATGAGCGCAGACATAAAAGGGCTGGTTGGCATATCCAAGGCTGTCCATGACGGCAATGCAGTCTTGGGCCATGTGGCTCTTGGCGTAGAGCTCCGTGTTATGGGCGGGCTTGGAAGAAGCACCGTAGCCGCGAAGATCCATCATAACAACAGAGTAATGGGAGATCAGCTTGGGAGCGACGAGATGCCAGATAATGTGCGATTCTGGATATCCATGGAGCAGGAGAAGAGGGGGAAGCGATGAAGACGAGTCAGACGATTTGATGCCGTATATGGAGATGGGAGGAGAGGACTGTGTCTGAACCGTGAATGGAGTAAAAGCAGAGGAAAAGAGGGCAATGGGAGCAGCCATTTTGGCTATAGGTCATGAATAGCAATTATGGCAGTCTTGGCTTCAAGAAAGAGGCTGATTGGGAAGACAAGTCACACCTATCCTGGCATTTGGGGTTGCTCACGTTGATATAGGAGGCGATGGGTATGATGTAGGTATCACATGGAGGGGCTACACCCCTACAGATGGATGGAGCTGGACGCCATGAACCCACTGGATCCTGGTGCCGAGCTTGATGGGGGGGGACCTCAGAATAGCGCCTCGGGATAGCGTATGGAAATAGCCGTTCCATCCGCTGTCTGCACCTCTTGCACCGTTCCATCCGTTGTTTGCGCCTCTTGCATTGACGGAAAGCTTGATTTCTTAGAGTACGACGTAGACGACAATGCCGAGCCTATAGGGAAGAGGCCATCAGTTAGCAGCGGTACTCGGTAAGTGGGCATATACATGCAGTCACTTTACCTGGAGTCTCATTGGTGCAAATGGAGATGAGGAATCTGTGGTGCGGTGGTGGGTGTTGGAAAGGCGGCGCGTAGTTGATACGTTTAAAGAGAATCAATCAGGGCAAAAGAGACACCGCGGTGGAATCTTTGTTGCAAGCATTGCCAGACTGGAGACAGAGAGAGCCTTTCTCTGAGAAGATGAGCAAAAAAGGAGATGAAGGATGAAAGGTGACAAGTTTATCCTTTCTTTTTCCTTCTCCTTTGCTCAGGAGCAGTTGCCCGTGCAGATCGGGTCACCTTGTAGATATTGTCGCTCCTTCCCTTATAATAGCTGCCAAAAAGTAAAGCCACAGTCGCGATGATGTAACTTCTTCGGTACCAGCTTCAAGCCATCGGCACATCTTTTAGCCGCCCGTCCGGGTTCCCTTTCTGCCAATCCAATCGATGCTTTCCAGTTTCAATCTCAAATCTCACACCCTCTCCATCATTGCAACGGTCTCATATTTCTTCAGGAGATTAAAAAGAAACGGATCCATCTCTGCTCCGCATACCGGCCCCTCTTCCCCTTCCACGGCTGGAAAACCAACGACGACGAATTCCGCTGGCGGGGAGATGATGAGTTGAAGCAAAGAGCCCATCGTTGCAACTTTCGGCCCCACCTACGGCAAACAACTCTCATATGGCTCCGGTCCGTGGCCGCGCAGCCTGCGATGGGTGCAGATCTCGAAAGCAGAAGGTGAGGCGGCAGGGAGAAAGTATGATGAGGTAATTATGTTGGATATGAGGATTGCTAATCCATCATTGAAATAAACCACAGTGCGATGAAAAAAGGTACGAGTGAAGATTCTCGTTCATCAGGGCGAATTACGGAGACGGCTTCCGTTATTTCACATGGCCATTCATTTGGTTGGCTGACCGAGACCCTCTGCAGGCCAACCTGTTCACGATGTCGTGACATGAAACGGGAATGCGTGTGGCCGAAGCTATACAAGCGGTAAGATGCAGCATTCGTCTACCTAGCCACCAAATCTCCTTGGGCAAAAGAATTATCAAGCTAATCTGTTCATTGATTCTCAGTGGCCCGGCAAAGGGTTACATCGAGGCGCTCGAGCAGCGTCTCGCAGTGACCGAGGCCGTGCTTCTTCAGCTGCTCCAAGTGTCGGGTGACAGCGTTCTGCAGGATGCCTTCAAGCATGAACCAGGCAGAAGAACGGATGTTTTGAACATGGCATCCGCAGCAACTACAACAACTGACGCGGCAGGGCGAATAGAGGCCAAGAAGACGGGCACAATTGCCCACTGGGACAACTTCCCCCTGAATACGGCAGACGATGTGAAGCGCTGGGCAGGCGAAGTCCTCGGGCACAACGCTGGTGCCCAGGCTGGCAACCGTATCGGCAGCATCACCACGAACGGCACGGCCCTTGAAGAGGCGAATCCGGCGGTCACGTCGTTTGAAACATATCCTGTCCCATCAGATCTGCTGCCAAAGAGCCTGCCCGAGGCGGGCTCGAGAGCCAGCACCGAAGCATTTCCGCCTCGATCATTGGAGCCGATAGCGACAGCCCTACCGACTGCCGCAGAGCCGGTCTTGGGTTCTGGCACGATGTTTGCGAGGGATATAGCGCCACAAGGCGAAGTGTTTGACTTGTCTCAAGATTTTAGACGGCAGTTTGTATGGTAACGCAGGTAGGTTTTTGTTTTCAAAAGAAATGTACCACTATTCAACCTTGTACTGCGTGGCCATTATTCATATATACAGATGTGTGTGCTTTTCAGAGCGTGTGTCATTGTGTTTTTTTTTTCGGCATGAGACTCTTGCCAATAACGAAATATGTACCTGTGCTTGGATATAGTTACGTAGAAATACTGGCGAGTCTCATCTCCAATTCCATGTTCATACCGTAGCCCGTGTACCGTAAAGATGGCATAAAATGATGATGATAAAAAAAAACGTTACAGACAATAGAAGAAAAAATCACAATCACTTACACGTTCAACCTATCTTCCAAATTCTGCACATAGTTATCCCACCCAATGTTATTAAACAGCAGCCCCGACGATTCCGGGTTCATATTCTCGCTCAGGAACCGCTCCCACTCTCCCTGCTGGGAGAACTGATCTGCGTCGAATCCGAAATCCGGTCCCGTGTATTCCAACACAGGCTGGAAGCTCGGATAGTCCCAGAGGCTGTCGCCGCCCATGAAGGCCGTGTCTGGGCCTATGAAGTGGCTGGCGGGATATCCGCTCAACGAGTTTCCCATGAAATTGTTGTTACCACTGTTATTCGTGTTGACGCCATTGTTGTTGTTGTTGTTATTTTGCTGTTCCATACGCCTTCGCTTGCTGCGGCTTCCCTCGAGGAGGTTCTGGTACGTTGAGAATACTGGTTGGCTCCAATCAGTCAACATGCTGAGTGACGGGTCGGCCGATAGGGCTGGGTTAATCTTGTCCATGAATGGCTTCGACGTTAACCTATCGAGCAGCATCTTCAGCGTCACTCGGCAGTGATGAGCACTACTCCAGTTTCGGCTCATCATGCCAAGGAGCCGTATTGCGCAGTTGAGATCCCTAATGTTAAAACAAGATTAGTTAGATAGTTGGCTAATCAAAAACAACTATAGCCATCTTTTTAAAAATGGGTAAATTTCAACGGCAAAAGCATCAGACATACAGCACCGTCTTCTCCATTGGATAGAGCTTCAACAACCCGGCATAGGCAATGGTCAGCCCAGCCATCCATGCCGCCGACAGCATTCCCGGCCAAGCCACCAGGGGAGAATCTCCCTGCCGTAGTTTGAGCTTCTTCACGATGGCTCGGCTGGCATTCACCGCAGTTTGTAGACTAAACTGGAAATCTGTTCTGTTCGTCGGGAGCGACAAAAACGGTCGGTTCATGATGAGAATAAGCTGGTGATACAAAATCGCAAAGGGAGGGCCGTGGTGAGACTGCGGCTCTACAAAGATGGACGTAAGCCCCTCTCCCTGAAACGAGGGCGGAAGCGTGTTCCACCAAGCATGGATCCTCGAAGTCATCTCCAGCACCTTATCCCATGTTATAGATCGGCTGTGTATGGATTTGTGAAACAGGTCGAGAGCCTGCCCGAGCAGCCGCGAATAGGTTACCAAGAAGCCAAGGATAGATTCGCCCAAGCTTTGTGGTCTATACACAAGCTGGTCTGTATTAATATTGCCTTCCTGCGTTCCAACAGTGCTGCCGTCAGTGAGGTCCCCGGCAGAAGACATGGATGCAAAGGTTGGATGATCCACTGGCGCATAACCTTGGATATCTTCTTCTGCTGCCGAGGGGCGCGACGCCGGGAGATTCTGAAAAGGCTTGGCCGGGTTATGGACTTCTGGTACCCCAGGCAAGCAGACATCAATCTCTTCGTCGTTGAGAGCCAAGGGGTGCCCAAGTACCTGACTCAGGTGGCGATCAATCACATACGCAGACCAAAAGATTCTCTTTCTCATGTCGCAGATGTCGCGCGGCAGCTGGACGTATCGAAAGGGGCATCTGTGCAGGCCGCAGTGATAAAGAATGCGTGTCATCGCTCCGTGAACTGTCGAGGCCGCTCGTAGAGACATCTGAGTCATTAGATACAATTCCACTGCCAGGAGAGCCTGTAACGAGGGGATATCATGGCCGCTGGAAAGGACGCCAAGCAGGCTCGTAAGCGCAACAGCAGATTTGATGCGAGATTCTTCGGGCAGTTCTCGCTCTTCCTTTTGATTGTGATTGGAGTCTGCAATGTTGAACACGCATTGGAAGATGATGGCCTGGTACACCTTGTTGCGTCGGCTCATCGGCTCTGCCGGAGAGCCCCCTGGCTCGTAGAACTGGTTCACCTTTTCAAAAAAGGTAGGGCCATGAAGAAAGGGAAGAAACGGATGCCATCGTCTAAAGTATTCCACCAAGAGCCGCTTCGCAACGGCCGGAGGAGGAGGAATCCCTAATCCAGGAGCTGCAATGCCGTAGGATCGTGCCCCTGGGCTCTTGTTCGCATCTTCCGCACCCACGGCACCGTCCCCCAGGCCGTCGTCTCCAGCGGCCTCCTCCTGGGCCTTTTCCTCTGCCATGACATATTCATGGGCAGACCCAGGGTCTGGGGTCGCCGTGGCTCCGAGGCCATCTACATCCCCCTGAGGGCGCTTGGTGGCAGAGCCACCAGAGCCCGTCGTTGCTGTTGCAAAGGCCCGGAAGACGGTGTTGGCGAAGAAGACACCGCTGGCACTTCCGATAAACTCGCTCTTATCGGGCCGTAGGGCAATAAATGAGCCGATCTCGATGGGCGGGATCTGCTGCGAGTCTGCGTCCGGAGTCTGACACATTGTTGCCTGTTGGTTGTGAGGATTGTTTGCCGGCAGGTGTTGTGTAGATGTGTATCAATCAATCAACAATTGATCAATCAGCCAGTCAGCAGCCAATCAGCCAATGATCCATCAGCTCATTCAAATGGATCCAATCGAAGATGGAGGAATTATGACTTTTACGAGCCGGTTGACTGAGAGGCTGAGAGATCCCGAGTCAATTCCACAAGTTTGGATGGCCTAGACAAAAGATGAGAGGGTCAGGTGCGTGCGGCTATACTTTCTACCGGCCGACCGAAGCGTTTAGCACTCACCTAAGAACGTTCTTAAGCATCACCAAAATCAAAGCAAGGAAGTCTAGATAGTTTCTAACATGGGTAATATTTGCTTCTTCAAGATGAGACAACCAAGTAGAATCATTAAGATTTGTGTTGGGTGTTGAATGTGTTTATGTATCTGGTACGTCCACTAAATTGACAGCGGCACTCGGCATAGAAATGTTGCTTGTCATGACAAAAGACGTTACATATTTTTTTTGGAAACAAGGAGACTATTCTGCAGAAGAATTGGTGTACATCAGACGCTACATGATAGATGGTATCATCACCGCCTGCAACTTCTCTCTTTCTCTCTCTCTCTCTTTCTCCCTCATACTCGCTCCGGTTTTTCCCCCGTCTCCACTTCTCTCTTCTATTACTTTTTAAAGTGCTTTTCTTCTCATATAAACCCAGATGAGCATATGTCTCTCCTTGCGCCACCCAAAGAAAACCTCTCCGTAGCGCCTCATTATCCTTGGAGCTGTAGTTCATACCTATCTTGGTAGCATAAGGCTGGAGTATTCGAGGGTACCTGTAGACAGACGCCACCCCCAAAGACAGTTTACCCCGAAATAACAATGCGACGCATAATTAGAAAATATCGGTTGAGAATGGTTTTTTTTTTTTTTTTCCTTTTCCGCTCGTGAAATTTCAAATAGTCAATGACTCAGAGTCAATGACTCAGAGTCAAACAGCAGCAACACTTCTCTTCCTCATAGCTCCTCCTTGACAGTGGCCTCTTGTCCTTCGCTGGCGGGCTTAGCCTTGAGTTGTTCGGCTTCCTTCTCGCCATCGCGACTGGCAGCGGCGTCCTCGTCTTTGGGGGCCTCGACGGCCTCAACGGTCTCGGCCTTGGCTGTCTCCTTGTCAACACCCTCGACATCAGGGTGGGGTGGGGCGACAGCTCCGGCGATCTCGCTGGGCCAGCCGCCTTCGGGCATGGCAATCTCGTTGCCGTGCTCATCAACGACGCGCGTCTTGGTCGCGTACTTTGTTTCAAACTCAACTTTGCCTTCCAGGGCCTTGACTTGCTCTTCATTCAGCAGGTTTCCGTCCTGATCCCGATATTCGATCTTTTCCTCCTTGGAGAGAACCTTTACATCCGGTTGAACGACGGCTGCCTGAGAGATAACAGGCTCCGCCAGAGGCTTTTGGGCCTGGTCGACAACCGGATCAACAACTGGCACTGAAGGAGCAGCGCTTGAAGGGGGGAGTTCGGTCAGAGTGTAGCTTTGGTACTAGATATCAAAACAAGTTAGTCATGGTTGCTCATCTTTGCAATAAATATTGATTCATCAATCTTCCATCGCTGGGGAGACACTTACGTCATCAAGGAAGGTGTTGCAGTCAAAGTCCCACTTGTCGAAGAGCTTGACGCGAACGCACTCGGCCTTTGTCCAAGGTGAGCCATAAGCCAGAGGGGCAAAGAGAGTGAAGACGGCAGCCGTGAGGACGAGGAAGGACACGGTGGCAACGCGGTTGATGAGGGTTCCACGGTAACCAAGGGCAGCCGGAATTCTTGCCGTCACAAAGTCAAACATTTGAGCGAGGGCAATGATGGCAAAGTACAGGGCAGGGAAATAGTGGTGCAAAAAGAGCTGGCGCTCCATGAGGAAAAAGGGGAAGTAGTGCAGAGCCCAGCCGAGGACTGAAGTGCCAATCTCGTAATCGAAACGCTTGTAAGTGCTGCTCTCGTAGTCATCGCATCCGCGCTGCCATCGGAGAATGGCTACGCCCTTGAAAATGGCCCATATCGCAACGACGGCCGTGCTAGACCACCAGATGATGGGGTTGCCAAGGAGATAGACCTGCATGTGGTGCTTGCCCCAGAAGTTGATACCACGGCGAAGAATAGGCCAAGATTCGGGTCGGGAGTCCCAGGCATGGGAGTCGGTCAGGCCGGCGTTTGTCCTCCACATGACTTTGTGGAGCTCCCAGAACTTGCCAAAGAAGCCAGGGTTGGCGTAGTTTGCCTTTTCGACGTCGTCGCCAAGCAGGGGGTGCTCGTTGTGCTCGACATACCAAACACTGTTGGGCACGCTGCCACCACGGGCGCAGGTGACTTCTTGTTGCTCTGAGGCCCACTCGGGCAGCTTGACCTTGTGGGAGAAGAGGGCACATCCAGTCATGACGTGAATCAGTCGGAACTTGGTCTCGATTGTTCGGAGGCGCTCCTTGGCCAGGGCTCCCTTGGACTGCTTCTTGACAATCTCAACGCGGAAGTAATCGTTGGCATCGCCCTCGAAGCCCTCGTAGCCGTAGGCGGACACCTCGTTTTGCCATTCGGCTTCAGAGACCGGGGGGCGCACATCGTGTGAGTGAAGACGTCGGAAAGTAGGCTGGTGATAGAGGCGGAGGACGGTGCCGTCGACGATGTGGTGTACCTCTGGCAGCTTGTCCCATGCGTCAGTTCCGTTGATGGGCTGGCCGTCAATTCCAAGGGGCTGGGTCTGGTTCTCCAAGACCCAAATGTTGTTGTCGTCCTTGTGGGGATACAGAGTGATTTGTTGCTGCAAGCTTCCAGTGGGGTACATGAGGGGGTGAGAGTGCAGGTAGCCGCCTTGAGTGTTGACATGGCGGATGGAGACTCGGCTTCCCATGACGACATCGGCGGGGACATCCCTCATGCCTTTGCTGTTCAGAGTGGCCTGGAATTCGGAGCTCATAAAGCCGTCTCCCTCGCCAGGGTTGGTCAAGCAGAGGAAGTGGATGGCGAACATGGCGAGATAGAAGGTGGCGGGGATGATGATGAGGCAGAAGACTCTGGCCATGAAGTGCTTGAACCAAAGACGCTGCGCGGAAGAGGTTGATTAGTCAATGTTCCAGTGCCAATATATCAATGCCGATTGGAGTGAAAAAAGAAGCGAGAAAGTGCCAGAAATACGTACAACAGAGACATTCTTGCTGTCGCCGAGAAGGACCCACAGCTGCACAAGAGTTAAAGACCCGACCCAAGCTATGGTGAACAGGCCAACCCATTTGATGCTTGCGGTGATGCCCAAGCCAAGACCAGACATGGCAAGCCAGAACCACCAGCTGAGCTGGAAAGCCTTGTCGGGTCCCTGTTCGTGCTGGTTGGTGAAGCAAGAGAAGGACATGGCAGTGAAGGCAGTGGCGAAAACCAGGGGGGAATCCAGAAGAATCAAGCGAGCCTGAGTCAGAAGGCCGTTTTCTATATTCAAAAATCTGTCAGAATTGGCTCTCCTTTGTCTTATTCTTTAGCTGCCTGGCAAAGCAGCAGCAGCAGCAAAGATCTGGGCAAGTTGTGTAAATGCTCACCAAAAATGATGAAACCAGCACCAAGTACGGCAGTCGTCGTCCGGCAGCCAACAGCCTTCAGGGTCATGAACATGATGGGGGCGAGGAGAATGCCGCAGATGGCAGGGAACAGACGCATGGCGACATAGGGGACGCCAGGCTCCAGGTAGTCTTTGCCAATATCCTTGAAATCGAAGTCGCCGTCGAAACCCGCGAGCCAGCCGGTGAGAGCAATGAGCATCTTGGCCAAGGGAGGGTGCACGTCCATGAAGAACCGGCCCTTGATGTACTTGGAGGCGAAGCCGCCAAAGCTAGAGAGAGAGAGAGAAGAAGCCCGCGTTAGCCCAGCACCAACACCACAACCAATTGAGCCGATTTAGACGAAAGAGAAGCAGAGTAACTCACTGAACCTCATCAAACACCACGCTGGTGGGCATGTAGATCTTGTACAGGCGCACAATGGTAGCCAGCACGGTCACTCCAAAGGCCGCCACATAGTCGGGCCCGGGCAGCAGGAAGACGTCATTGTCGTCGACTCCGTCCGACTTGTACGAGGCGTTCTTGTTGGCCTTTTTCGACTTGTTCGATCCAGCGACTGGCGCCCCAAAGGGCTGCTTCTCGGCGACAAGCGGAGGTTGAGGGCTGCGGCCCCGCGCACTCGCTTTCGCCATGGCGAAGGAGATGAGGTTGGCGGGGTGAGATGTGCGATTCTGCGGCGATTGGAGGAAGAGAGCAGAGGGGCCAGGCACTGCGTGCTAGAGGCTGGGCAAAATGTCCGCTTGGGACCGGTAAATGAGCGTATCGAACGAAGGAGAGGAGGCGAGGCGGTGGTGGAAATTGAAAATTAATAAAGATGCCTCATGGAGAGAAGCTGACAAAGGGAATCAAGGAAGGAGAAGAACGCAAAACCCAATTCGGCCGATCAGAGCAGCCGCCGGTCGCAGGTCGCAGGTCGCAGGTCGCAGGTCGCAGCGCGCAGAAGAAATAGAAAAGGGAGGAAAAGGGACACGAGGCCGCAAAGAGGTCGTCGTGATTGATGGACGAGACCAAGAGTCAGGGGTGCGAGGAGGAGCTGCGCAACCAGCGTGGCTTCAGTTCAGCTTCGCGTGTCGTTTCCAGCACTCAATTGTAGCTACAGTGGCCTTAAGCAGCGCTTCGTTCAGCCTTGGCGCCACTGGTGCACAGCCATAGCAAGTAGCCGGTACCCGCGACTACTGCTCCGGCGCCATACAAAGGGCGAGTAGGCATACATGCCGTGTTAAATTGAGCCACTCAATGGCAGAAAAGGCCCCGTTGCGGGCTATAGCCTCGTGTTTTTTTGCTGGCCCCTTGCCTCTAGGCCTGTACTATTGGCTACTAGCACTGAAACACGCAAATCCCATCGTATTCTAGATGAGGCTCGAGTCTTGATCTATTTACCTACGCAATCTACGGTATCGTTTGATATTCAATCCTTAAAGTTAAACATGTGCAACACACGTACGCGGCATGTTCCTAAATGAAGCATTGCATCTACCTTGGCTCTGTATCAAACAAGAACCCAGGCCGTGTGTCATTTCCGCTGCTCGTAATCGAACTCTTGACGAACCCTTTTCAGCCGCACTAGGATGCAAAGGGAGCTCTCAATTCGGCTTGCGGGCAAAGGCCCTGTCGCTCTCCCTTTGTACCACCAAGGTACATCTGCAGCTGTTTGCAAGCCTTTGGCTACCTGCTGCGTACTGGAAGCGCAATGGCATGCCTTGTCGGTCTGACCCAATTTGACATGTGCTCTACCCAAGATTGCCAATACCGGGACGAAAATGCAACTCGTGGGCAAAGTGGTGGCAAATGCAGAATGCAGGCAAGGCAAGGCACATCATGCGAGATTGACGATGTCGCACAATCTGCAGCGGTAGCTTCTAGCAGGTACTTGTATATTATATTCCTCCCACAAGGTGCAATATCCATGCCATAGGCAGCATATAACCTCGTTAAATTAAGCATTCCCTCAAGGCAGCTTTTAAGACATGGATGGGGAGTCTTTGCCATGGCCAGGGTTCATTCAGGGTCCAGGGCCTCGCTACAGGCACTCTGCACTACCCCAGACCCTGCGCCACAGCCAGATGGTACCTGAAGCACCGCGCATGTGGCGCAACAACGACAGCGGCGCGGACTAACTTGGCTCCGCCCTCCGATCCAATTCGCAGTTCTGTTTGCATGGCGCCTAGGAAATTTCCAAGCAAGTGAAGCTGCATCGCCGCCGCCAGCTTCTTACTTTTAATCACATCTCAACGCCTTTTCTCGTTCACAATCCTAGGCGGAAGCAACAGCAGCAACGAATTTGCATTATCCCTGGCTTGTTTATCTATTAATTTCAAATGGCTGCGGAAGCGGCAAATGGAGGTGCGTCAAACGCGCTTGACGACATCAAAGCTCCTGCTGGCGTCGTGCTGCCGCCGCGCGAGATTAGGAATATCCTCGAAAAGACGGCCGGATATGTCGCGCGAAACGGCTCGGTGTTTGAAGACCGCATCAGAGAAAAGGAGCGCCAGAATCCCAAATTCAGCTTCCTAAGTCCCGACGATGCGTACCATGCTTACTACCAGTGGCGACTGAGTGAGATCAGAGCTGGTCGCGGCACCGATATCGCGGCCGGTCGAGTTGGCGAAAACATCACGCCTGTTCCCGAGAAGCCCAAGGGCCCGCCGAAGCCCCCCGATTTCCAATTCTGTGCTCGAATGCCTCACATCAACCAGAAAGATCTAGATGTGATACGGCTGACGGCGCTTTTCGTCGCCAAGAATGGACGGCAGTTCATGACACAGCTGGCGCAGCGCGAAACTGGCAATCCTCAATTCCAATTCTTAATCCCAAATCACACATTCCACAACTTCTTCCAACACATAGTCGATCAGTATACACTGCTGCTGCGGGCGAGCGGACTCGATGGCGAGGGCGGCAAGCTGCAGGAGGAGCAAACTGCGGAGCTGGAGCTGAATATCAAGGACAAGTTTCATGTGCTTAACCGAGCAAAGGAAAGGGCCGAATATCTTAAATATCAGGAGACTGAGAGAAAGAACAAGGAGGCTGAGGAAGAGGTCGAAAAGGCCGAGTTTGCCCGCATCGACTGGGGAGACTTTGTCATTGTCGAGACCATTACGTTTTCAGACGAAGATGATAACACCAATCTTCCTCCACCCACCACTCTGGGTGAGCTACAGTACGCTTCGTTGGAAGACAGGAATAAGGCATCCATCAGTGCCAATTTGCGGATCGAGGAAGCCATGCCTGGCGAAGAAGATCTTGTACAGAACGGGGCTGAAGCCACTCGGCCATCCTCCTTTCCCCTGCCCGTGCATACCGGCTACGCACCGCAACAGCAAGCACAGACACCACAGCATGCGCCTTTGCCAGTACCGGTTTACGGTGCCGCAGCACCACAGCAATCTGCTCAGGAAGAGGAAGAGCTGCGGAGAATCCAGGAGAGATCTGCGGCGCAATCCCGTATGCAGCAGGCACAATCAGAGGCCAGGGGTGGTCTTGGCCCAATGAAGATTCGGGAGAACTACGTGCCCCGAGCAGCACAAAAGACGGCAAGCAAGCAGGGCACGCAGATGGCCTTGTGTCCCAACTGCAAGCAGCAGATTCCTCTAAACGAGCTGGAAGCGCACATGAGAAGTAAGTTTCAAAATTCTTTACTCATATGGCTCAACATTTAGCTAACCGATATTTTCCTCTTCCTCTTCTATAGTCGAGCTCTTGGATCCTAGCTGGAAAGAGCAAAAGGCCAAGGCTGAATCGCGCTATGCCACGTCCAACATAGCTCATATTGACGTTGCTAACAACTTGAAGCGACTTGCTAGCCAGCGAAGCGACGTCTTTGACCCTGCAACAGGGAATCCTCTCTCGGAAGACGAACAAGCAAGGCGAAAGAAGGCAGCCGTCCAAACGTTTGACGGCCATCTAGAGGGAAAGAGCCAAGCTCATCTCAACCACCTTCAGAATGTCAATGTCGACGAGCAGATTCGTGCAATCCATCAGAAGTTTGCCACCAAGAAGTAAATCATGGCAGGCAATGAGTTGAATAACTTTAGCAAGCGGCTATACTTGTAAAGAGTTTAGCAAGCAGCTATACTTGTAAAGAGTATAGCAAGGGAGGATGGTTCAAGCCAGCACATTCCTTTCAAAGGTATAACACCTCGGGCAACCCCGTATCCATCAAAAGTCTCGCAAACGGTTCGGTTTTTCGAATGAAAGATTGCCCTATATACAAGGAGATGTATAGTCATTTTGTTAGTCATGGAGTTTGAAACCTCAAGGTGAGGCGATTTTTATCGTTCTTTTTTTATATGATTGCAGGAGCTCATTTACCAATAGCTTTAAAGAGAGCATGCAGTGTACAAGTTTCACAGCAGGATTAATGAATAAATATCAAAACATGTATCATGTAGCACAAAGGCTATTCGAAGCAAAAGGCTCTTGCTACAGATACTTGTTTTGGTTATATACCCTCGATATTTTGCCCACCACTCAGTCGAAGGAGGCGTCAGCTACGGCACGCTTGGCATGAGGATAGTAGCGGCTGTAAAAAGCAATAAGAAAGGGAAGCAATTAGAAACTATAATAAGGCGTCCATACTATATATAACCAATGCAATACGCAGTCCCAATAATACAAAAGAGCAGAGGATGATTTGTTCGGCTTTCAAACGTATAGAGTGTTTCGAGCAGCATTGTATTGTATCAAGTGATTTGGTCCTTCTCTCCAACATATAAACAAATATACAATATCTTAATAGCTACCAAGAAGCTTTCTATAATTACTTTACATTATATATTCTTCAAGAATGGAAAGCGAAATCTAGTTATGCTGCTAACAAAGCTGATTGTTCGCCTGCGAGCGCCAAAAGCTGAAAGCTGAAAGTCCTCTGGAACTGGTGGGGAAGGCAGCTTGGCAGCTCCCTCCCCCACGTGAACAGCAGCAACTGCAAAAACCCCACCTCAAGTCAGCTTGCCGGTGCCGCGATTGTGCAACAGCCCCGGTAGGGAAACGCAGTATTTATCTCGTCACTCTCCACCTTGTCACTCCAAAGGCTGGTGATCACACGAGCCAGCGCATTTCCCCAGCAGAATCCGACAGGCTTCCAAGGGGGGAGAAGAACCAAAGCTAACCCACCCTCTTGCCTTTGGCTTGTTTTTACCAACCTGCATACACGTCATACCAGGTCCTCAGAGCTCCTCAGCCTCGCCCGCTTCTTGAATCAGGACGGGCCAAGGCTGATCCTCGCAAGAGCGGCAACCGCATCTCCCTTTTGAAACCTCATAGCCCGTCGACTTTCATACCACCGCCAAACTGTCGGACTCTCAGGACGCCGGGCAGGCGGCCCGCAAATCGCCGGATCTGCATCGGCCCATTTTGCAGTCCATGCCAGACACGCGGCAGCAGAGCTTTGACGAGATTTATGGGCCGCCAGAGAACTTTCTCGAGATAGAGGTAGGCAGCGCATCAAGATGTGATGTTTTGTTTGAAATTCCAAGCGTGAGGGGGTGTCAAGGGGGCGAAACAGAATAAGGAGAGAAACAAGACTACTGTCCAAGGCATGGCTAATACCTTCTTCTTCTTCTCCTCCGGCAAACAGGTACGGAATCCTCGAACACACGGCATGGGACGCTCCATGTACACCGACTACGAGATCCTCTGCCGCACAAACATCCCCGCCTTCAAGCTCCGCCAGAGCAGCGTCCGCAGGCGTTACTCCGACTTTGAATATTTCCGCGACATCCTCGAGCGCGAAAGTGCCCGCGTGACGATCCCGCCTCTGCCCGGCAAGGTCTTCACCAACCGCTTCAGCGACGATGTCATTGAGAACCGGCGGGCAGGGCTGGAGAAGTTTCTGAAGATTGTGGTTGGGCACCCGCTGCTGCAGACTGGGAGCAAGGTGCTGGCAGCGTTTGTTCAGGGTATGTCTATCCTATGCCTCCCCAATTTCCAAAAGCAAGCTGCTTTTTTCTGTTAAGAAGAAGAACTAACTGGATATGAAATATGGACAGACCCCAACTGGGATCGTAATGCGTGGTGAGGGAAGTTCTCTGGCTGAGATGGCTTTAATGCTTTAGGGGGGAAGAAGACCGAAGCTACCCGTTTATATATATCCCAAGCCAAAAAGGAAGGCAGTACGTCGAATTAAGCGAAGTTTCTATTGTGCTATCAGCCACTCTAGATCATGGGAAGTGATGTTTGGCAAATTGAAAACGTGGTATAGCGCTTGTAAGATGGGAGAGGCCAATGACATCTGGGACAATTCTACGTTACCCTTGCTTTTTTTCTCAGCCTGAGCTCATCTTGCCCTTTTCTTTCTTCTCGGCTCGAATTACCGGCCTTTCTTTATTTCACATTTAGTGTTATGTCAGTCTTTAGCAGGCTGCAATTTTTCTCTTCTTTAAAGTAGCAACTCGGTTGCTTATTATTGTTGCTCGAGCAAGCAGGAACAGGGACTTTTCTTGACAGAAAGTGGAAAAGCAAGGGACGTCTCATGGCCAGCAGCACTTATTGTACATGTTAACAAATTCAAACTCAAATTCAACAAAAAAAAAAAAAAAAAAAAAAAAAAAGAAAGCATTTTCTTATGCCAAGAAGCCTCTTCCAATGTCTGTCATCTTGCTTTTATCGACATGTATTTAGTCGCTCTTGTGTTTGCAAAGAAAACAGTATCATCCAGGGTAGGACGGCCGCATGTATGCAACGCTATCTCGCGATAGGCTAACCTCAAGAAACATCACCTCGCATTATCAAGATACCGATATCCACGCCCAATCAGAGCACATCCTTCTCTCTTCAGTAAAAGATTGCCGGCCCCGAAATTCGGTCCCGGAGTATTTGTGGATTAGAGGGCTTGGCTCGAGACAGCGATTCCTCTTAGGCAGGCCACTTTGGTGTTGAGATCCACAAACGATGTCATACCTTGGCGCTATGGCTACTAAACCTTTCAGTTTTTTTTTTTCCCCTTGCGCGAGCAGAAGAGGGCAGGATTCGGCCAATGACAGGTGATTCTCTCCAAGTGATGAGCGGCAAAAAGGAGAAGATTATCGTGAAAAAAACTTTTCTTCTTCTTTTGTGAAGAATTCCTGGCGGTGAGTTGGCATAAGTGGCGTGAGTAAGGTGGATAGTTGATACATAATTTTTTCAAGGTTAGAGAACTGCCAAGAAATTGAGGCTCAGGAACCTGCATGTGAAGAATATTCCGGATTCAGAAATACCGAAGCCAATGACAAAAGTAGCCGTATAACAATAATCATGGCGCAAAAGTCTCGAGTTCAAGGCCTCATTTGGCAGTGACATACTCTGTAGTTGACACATGCATGGAGAAGGGGGTCAGAGGGTCTCTCTTCTCCGCCTCTCTCAACCCCATGGGCATAATCTAGACTACCACGACTTACTCTCACCTCCAGGAAAACTCAAAGCTCGCCTTTGCCAATAGCCACGTGCCGCAGAGGCTTCACAGTATAAAACACCATTCGCCAGCACAGCGCGGGACGCGTAAAAGGGAAACCCGCAGCCTCACCTATCCCTTCCAATCTCGGGATTGCAGCCCCGACTTGCATGTGCTGATCGACAGCCAAACCTCCTCCTTATGGGCAGTCGCACGAATCAACCCGGCGGGGGAAGACATTTTCTAGTATGCATATTCGGGTTCCATCGCGAATGACTCGGGTCTGAGAAACGGGCCACAAGTGCTGACCTGAGGGAACATGAAAACTGGAACCATGAACCGGTGTGCTGCCGGCCGAGAGTTGAGAGCTTGCGGGCGAGCCCAGATAGATACGTGTATATCGTAGCCGTGCCGGAGTATTTTGAAGCTATAGTAGGTACCTGTATTTGCCGCATCTAGTACCAGACCAAGGTGAAAATCGCCACAGGGACCAAGTAGTTTAAAAACCTTTTCATCGGGATCCAAGTTCATGAATGAGCAGCTAATCGGAAGCTTTTGATGCAGAGAACCTTGGCGATTGTGCATAGATGTGCATTCCGCATCCAACCGACAGCGGTCTCCATCACACCGCGGGCTGAAAACGGAAAACCACTCACTCAATAGGGCTTGATAATCTCCATCTGGGCGCAAAAAGCGTGAAACATTTTATGAAGATCGTTTATCAAAAGGGAATAAAAAAAAAAAAACAGCTGCTTTTCGTTGGCCGCTGCATCTCAGACAAGCATCCCTCTGTGGCTCCAATTTCGATCGTCATGGTGACCCACACTCTCATGGGTTTCTCAGGCCTCTTCTCCTCTCGTAAATCTGGTTCAATACGACGATCAGCTCCGTCTTGTGCAAGGAAAATGATGTCATGTGGATAAGACGTTGTACACTGTATAACAAATCAAGGATCATGTCCGAACTGTGATGGAGATTTTGTCACAAGTTTGCCGCGAGCAAACGGTTTCCTGGCGGTTAACGGTATGGTAGATAGTCAAGTAGTTGTATGAGCGCTGTCTGCAACCGAGGGCCATGCGAATATTTAAATCAATGGTTGACCCCATGTTTCCTCCGGATTTCTGCTTGAATCTTTAATTCTCCCATGCCTCTTTTTTTCTCCTGCGTGCCATAAGACATACCTTGTATTTGGTTGTCTTTGAGATTATCCATCATGGCGCCTCCTAAATTTGCTGGCCTTTCAGGCCGGCCGCTCTCCCTGACCGTCTCGACTGTTGCTACCATGGCTTTCCTTCTCTTTGGATATGACCAGGGAGTCATGAGTGGTATCATCTCCTCTCCAGTGTTCAACGACTATTTCCCCGAGACAAGAGACTCAACCATGCAGGGTCTGGTAACAGCCATCTATGAGATTGGTTGTCTGATAGGTGCCATGTTTATCCTGGCCGTGGGAGACTTGCTCGGCCGCCGAAAAGCCATCATCATCGGCGGAGTCATCATGATCTTTGGAACCATTATCCAAGTCACCTGCATGCGTGGCCATGCCCAGCTTGCGCAGCTCATCATTGGCCGTATCGTCACCGGCGTTGGCAACGGCATCAACACCTCAACCGTCCCAACCTACCAGGCTGAGTGCAGTAAGACATCCAACCGTGGCCTGCTCATCTGTATCGAAGGTGGCATCATTGCCTTTGGCTCGCTCATTGCCTATTGGATCGATTATGGCGCATCATACGGACCTGACGACTTGGTCTGGCGATTCCCCATTGCCTTCCAGATTGTCTTTGCCCTCTTCTTCTGCACGGCCATGATCTGGCTCCCCGACAGCCCCAGATGGCTCCTCACGCACGAGCGTTATGAGGAGGCGGAAGTCACCATTGCTGCCCTCCGTGGATATGAAGTCGACAGCGAAGAGACCAAGATGGAGCGAGACATTATCCTCGACTCCATCAGAGCCTCGGGCTTCGCCGGCCAGAAGAGCACTCCCATCAAGGCCCTCTTCACCAACGGCAAGACGCAGCACTTCCGACGCATGTTGCTCGGCGCCTCATCTCAGTTTATGCAGCAGGTTGGTGGCTGCAATGCCGTCATTTACTACTTCCCCATTCTGTTCCAAAACTCCATCGGCGAGACTCACAACATGGCCATGCTACTCGGCGGTATCAACATGATTGTCTACTCCGCCTTTGCCACCGTCTCATGGTTCATCATTGAGCGAGTCGGCCGTCGAAAGCTGTTCCTTTACGGCACCGTTGGCCAGATGCTTTCCATGATATTGACGTTTGCGTGTCTGATTCCGGGCAATCCCTCTGCCGCCAAAGGAGCAGCCGTTGGTCTCTTCACCTACATTGCGTCCTTTGGAGCCACCTGGCTGCCGCTCCCATGGCTCTACCCTGCCGAGATCAGCCCCATCAAGACCCGTGCAAAGGCAAACGCTGTTTCGACATGCACAAACTGGCTCTTCAACTTTTTCATTGTCATGATCACTCCTATTATGATTTCCAACATTGGCTGGGGAACCTACCTGTTCTTTGCCATTGTCAACGCCTGCTTCTTCCCCATCCTGTATTTCTTCTACCCAGAGGTATGTAGCTCTCCAGTCTGCCAGAAATGCCATTGCAATCTCGCTAACAGTCAAAAATCACAGACGGCGAACCGATCGCTGGAAGAGATTGACATCATCTTTGCCAAGGGCCACTCTGAGAACATTTCATATGTCAAGGCCGCCAATGAGCTGCCTTTCCTGTCTCATGACGAGGTCGAGGAATACGCTCTTCGATACGGCCTGGTCACCAGCGCAAGCCAAGGTGCTGCAGGCAGGGAGGAGGACAAGTCGAGTGAGAGGGGGAGCTCCAGCGAAAAGGGAAGCTCGAACGAGAAGGAAATCGGCACAGGAACCGAGTCCGAGAAATGATTTATGAGATACCAAAGGAAGGACAAGAATGAATACCCATAGAGGATAGAAGCTAGAAGGTGGAATGCCAAATCATCTTGGCCCATCTTGGTAAAATAGAGAATCGGCTACTGGAACATGCACCAGGCCGTGAAGCAAATTATCCTTGCAACGTGCTGGAATCTGTTGAAGTGTAAACGCAACGAATTTAGTCAAGTGGTGAGATGATGGAAAAGTCAGACTGGGAGATGGCCAACGTCTGCTGCAGTCAGTTGGTTAGCGCACCTCGAAGCTTACACCACTATAAACAGTTGGCTACTCGTGTTTCATGGAGCCGACTGCCTGTGTCAGCCAAAGACGAATTACTTTTGGAGAGGAATGGTAATCCAATCATTTCCATGAAAGATACTCGCTCAACAAAAATCATCTTCATCGTAAATAGGCTCACCAATAGAACAGCTGAACATATATATATATATATATATATTATATATATATATAAAGAGGAAATTGAACCCTGCTGGAATGACCTATAATCAAAATCCAAAGTCCTAACAAGATGGAAAACAATACAACATTTACAAAAAAACACAAAAAACAGGTTCTGGAGGGAGTCGAACCCTCGCTGCTGGAATGACTTATCATCAAAATCCAAAGTCCTAACAACAATATAGCAAATAAAACCGCTATTAATACAATATTTACAAAATATAATAAAAAAACCAAAAAACAGGTTCTAGAGGGAGTTAAACCCTTGCTGCTGGAATGACTTATTATTAAAATCCAAAGTTCTAACAGCAACATGGCAAACAACACTGCTAATAATAAAACAAATAACAAAAAGTATAAAAAACAGGTTCTGGAGGGAGTCGAACCCTCGCTGCTGGAATGACTTATCATCAAAATCCAAAGTCCTAACCGTTAGACCACAGAACCGCCCCACTTTTAATTATTCGCTTAATGCTGTAAATGCAAATATAAAGGTAGAAGCTGAGTCTTGTCACAGGATCTGACTCCAAGACATCACTTTGTACTTCAACGCATCTTGACTAAATTATATTGCTTTACGTCAGTGAACTGGATTTTATTAAAGTTTTCATCAAATTAGACCACAGAACCGCCCCATTTTTAATTATTTGCTAATGGCTGTAGATGCAAAGATGAAGGTGGAAGCTGCGTCGAGTGGCAGCATCTCGGGATCTGACGATCAGTCTGCGATAAGAGACTCCGAGATGTTACTTGGGGCACGCCAGTTAATTAGATTATATAGTAATGGTGCTAGCGGAATATGTTATATCAAGAGTAAGTCAAACATGTAGCCTTAAATTTGTAAAGCTTGGTTTTGCCTTAGACCACAAGCCCTTCAAGGGCACACTTGTCGAAAGCATATACACTTAATAGTAATGCTAGCTGGGCGCTGTTCAACACTTCATTTATTGCCAGACAACCGCATCTTTCTTTACTTGAAAGCATCTTTCTTGACCGAATGCCGCTTTTCATCGGCAAACTTACTTTATTCTAGCTACATACCAATATATCATCCATTCAATACCAATCTCTCTTCTCCATCCACCCCAGATCATCCCAAACACCAAAACCCGCCAAGATATAATAATCATAATAGTACACAGTTGGGACTCATAATTCAAACAAACACCAAAATAAGCAATAATCAACGCCAGTCAAACCCCCATTACACAAACTCCATCCGCAATCCCGGATTCTCACGATGAAGCACCGACTCCACCACGTTTGACAGCAACGTCACGAAATTGGGCACATCAGCGGCCTCTGTCTTGGTCGCATGCGCGGCCAGTCGGTGCTTGGCCATGTTCTCAGACGCACAACGTTGTGAGCAGAACAGCGTCAGGCGTCCCGAGTTTACGCACTGCTTGCACACAAACACCTCCAGCGCATATGCATCGTCCATGATGACATCTTCCTCTTTGGGGCTGCTGCGCTTCTGGATACAGCTGTCTCCGCCGTCACATTTGTGTGCTTCGTCGACATGTTTGCCCTAGAGAATCAAAAGAGTTAGTTGCAAATTGCAAGCAAACGCAACATGACAGGACCAGCCTGTTGATACATCCGAAAAATCACAAGGAATACATACGTGTCCAGCATCAAAGCACTCTTCTGAGCAGTAGACTGTGAGCTTCTGGCTGCTGCCCATCTGTGTGATTGTCTGGCATACAGTGCAGGAAAAGACATCGTTTGCAGCCACGACTTTGCCGCACGTCGAACAGGGGGGTAAATCGTAGAGCTCATCGCCGGCCACCTGGTCCTGGGCTGTTTGAGCCTGGCTCTTAGCCTGCTGCTTCTTGTTCAGCTCATCGGCCATCCTGGCCCTCCGCAGGTCGTCGAGCCGTGCCTGGAAGAACTCTCGCTGGGGCCGCATCGTCTTGTCCTCCTGCGCATCCTTGACCATCTTGCCGAATATTTCTTCAATGCCCATGTCCTCGTTGGAGGAAAACTCGTCCAGATACGGCCTCGAGTCGTGGACTGGCTCGCCCGTCTCTCGGTCTATGAAGAATTCCTCGACATAGAGCTTCCGCAGGGCAGCTGCATTTCCCTCGGCAGCTTCAACGCTGGCCACAAACGAATCGACCCGTTCGGCCCAGTCGGGCGGCTTGCCAATCCCCCGCCAAATCATGCTCACCACCTCGTCGCGTGATCGGTCCGGGTCGTCCAGCATGCCTCTCAGCTCGTCCTGGATGTAGGGGTCGTCGCAGACAACGAGAAACTCGGGGTGCTTCCGCAGTATCCATCGATACCAGGCCTCCTTCTCCGACTCTATCCGCGCCTCAATCCTCTTGAGGCCAATCTTGCGGTCCTTCGCGTCTGCAAAGAGTTCTTCCAGCTCCTGGTGAAACGCTTTCCTATACGTGAACCATTCGCGATCCTGACTCCCGCTGTACCTCTGGCGCATCCTCTCTAGCACCCGGATGTAGCATCCCGTGCAGTCTGAAACGTGTTTCTTGCCACATCCACTGGCGCACGAGGGCCTAAACTCCTCGATTTGTTCCGAACAGAGCCGCCTCTGTTTCCTGGCCGCGATGAGCTCCGTCCAGTGTTCCGGAGCGGTTGCTGGCTGAGCCATGGCTGTGATTCCTGGCTCGCACAGATGCAGAGGAGAATTCCTGCTCCTCTAATTATATCTAAGAACCGTTAAGAAGAAATATATATATAAAGAATAAAAAAACAAGCCCCGAAGAAATGAAAGATGTGTCTTGAAGATGCCGTTTATCTCTCCCCGTTGACGCGCCGAGATTCCCTCTCAGTACCTAACTGAGAATCAAGCGCAAAAGCATCGACTGAGTAAGCTGAAAAAGAGAAACACAGCTAACCCAGTTCAAGAGACCCCAGCGAAACCTCAAAGACCCAAGCCGTCCAGCGTTGAAAGAAGGAAAAGAAGGGGTATAAAAACACGTCGATGCGCCGGGAAAAGAATGGGAAAGTCGGTTTGGTATAGAGATGGATTTTTCGTTACTCTGCAAAGGTACCTTGGTAGGTCGCAGGTACCTGCACAACAACATTGAGTGCGTCAACACGCCTTCGCTGACCTCATCTTGCAGGAAAATACAGTCCGCCGATGTTTTGCCGAACTCCAAGCGGAGATGATCCGGCGTAATCTCGTCTAAACTCAGCTGCGGCTGACTGTACCAACACGCCTCGTCAAGTAAGCCTTGATACTTGCGACGCCAATTTTCGCTTCATCATTGTCTCCAAGCCCCCAAATCAGTGTTTGATATTCAATTCATATCAGATTCTCTAATAAACTCATCTAGCACTTACAATGGTAAGAAACCAGATTCACAACCGTATCCGCGGAACCCTCAACCGCGTGCACAACTCGTGCTAATTCTCTCTTCAATACCAGGCCGACAAGCTTCGCAACCAGCAAGAGCTCGAACGCCTCCAGGCCAAATATGTCGGAACCGGCCATCCAGACACCTCCAGCTGGGAGTGGCGGACAAACATCCAGCGAGACACGTACGCCTCGATTGTCGGCCACCGACCTCTTCTCTCCTACATCTCGCTGGCAGAAAACGAGCCTCTGACCAAGACGCGGGCTCAGCTGATACGGGTGTGTAGTTGCTGCGCCAATCTGCAGTTGGAAAATTTGTTAATTGCTAATATTTGATGTTTGACGGACAGAAAATGGTTCAGCCAAGCGGACCTCCACCGCCGCGAGAAGATTAATTTCCAACCAACGACTCCTAAATCACCGACCATCATTGAAGATGCAGCCAACAACGGCAAGATTTGAGTCTATTCTAAAGATGTATGTATACATATGCATCTTGTGTATGATTCGCGGATGAGAATGGCGTTATAGAACGACAGATTCGCACGACAAGATACCCCCTTTCATAATTAAGCAGCAACTATAGTATCCCAGGTAGGGTTAATAGAAGACATTGGCATGAAACATGAGAACAGAAAAAAGAAGCAGCAGAAAAAGTCGATGGAGACAAACAACAGAAGACGGGTATTATATGGGTTCTAAGAATCATCACAAGCACCAATGCGGTGCCACCATCATGGCGTATCCTATGCGCCGTTCGTCATGCTCCATCCCACATCGTTGCCATCCTCCCCTTCGCCATCTCCGACCTGTCTGCTCTTCAGACCCAGGCTCGACCGCAGTTTCTTGTCAAAGGCCGCGTCTTCGGGATGGCCATACACCTCGCGCACCAACCCCATGACTCCGTCCAGGCCGATTTCTTCCTTTGCTCGAGGCCCGACATGCCAGGTGATGGTCTGGTCGCCCTCGTAACCGACTGGCGGCCGGTCCACCCTCTTGATGAGGTATCCCTGTCTCTCGAGCCTCTTGAGCACCACCTCTGTCCGTTCGCTAGCCAGCATTCGGTCGGCGTTGAGGCGCATCAGGGACCGCTGCAGCTTCTGTTCGCTGAGCTCTCCTCCGTTGAGCCAAATCAGCGAGACGAGCAGCGTATAGAATCCCATGGATGTTGCTTCTTGTTCGGCACTCGGGGTTTTCGATGGTCTCAGGATCGATGCGCTCCGATATTCTGGTAGCAGCGTGGAAGAGAGGACATAGGCACCGGAGCCAGACCTTGACTGCGTGTTTGATTTCATAGCTGTCGATGATTGCAGGATTAGCCTCAGCCCTTTTCAGGAAACAACTCAATAGATCAAACAACAGCTTCGAGTTACCTTGTCTCTTCTCATGCAGCGTCATCTTCTCTCGGACAGGCAGCTCGCGCAGCTCCATCCCCCAGACGGCTCTCAGTTGGGTTTGCGCCAGCTCGAATATTCTCCTAAATGAACGACTTTGCTTTCCCAGGACTATCATGATGGCTCAGTCAGTCGACGACCTTGTCTCCCTTGTTTGCGCATCCTTACCTCGCTCCTTGATGCCATCTCTCCGTATCGACGTTCTCGAGTAGTCGCAGGCAATCGCATATCGAACCAGCTTCTTGGCCAACTGCTCGTCGACTCTCGAAGTTGCGCCGTTCATCTCCACATCCTCGTCTGACGGTTCCTCTTCTTGCTCCGTCTCCGAGCCCTCGATATGCGGACGCTGCCGAGGTCGAGCGTCTTCGTCCGATTCACCGTCATCTTCCACCTAATCAATCACGTGCGCTTGTCAAAAAGGTTCAACACGGAAACAGCGAAGGGGCTGTCGACTGCGGACCCACCGGACGGCGTCTCCTCTGTGAAGGCGGCATGGCTGGACGTTCAATTGATGTCGACGGGGCCTCGGAATCTCAGATCTGGTGATGTGAATCGCAATGGAATCAGGAATTGCGAGAGTCAACGTGGGGCTTGAGTGTAACCAACGCGCTACTTACTGAGGGCAGCGCGTCTGATTAATTGCGTAGGCGGGTAAAGTGGCCGCAGCGAGAGCTTTTATCGGCTATCGATAACGGCTTATCCGCAAAATTCCATATCGCATCGCAATGTACCTGCATCGTATCGTACCTACTTATCATATCGTCCCGTCTCTTCATTGTCGACTCTGTGAGCTCTTCCAAAGACATTCCGCCGCATTGCATTTCATGTAGCCTCTTTTTCCCCGCTGCAACTCGCATCTGGTTTGCCGCATCAATGCTTTCCCGAGCGGCAAACGCTCCGCGCGTCTATTGGGCCAACCGACTGGCCTCGTCTATCTTGCGTGAGAGAACAACGCTAAGCCATTTCTACGGCCGTGAAGATTGGCTGCAGCAGCGATGCTACAGCTCCGATCCCATCATCCACAGCAAAGAAAGCGTGGAGGCGCTGATATCGGGGCGAATAAGCACGAAAGAATTCAACAAATCGCTTCAAAAGGCATCCAAGAAGCCGTCTCGAAGAGGGCCCTCTCGCCGCGGCAAGGGCGCAAGCAACAGACGCCGTAACAGGGACGAAGAGATACCCGACTGGGGGCTTGCGGCAGCTCCAAACGATGCGGTTGTCAAAATAGAAGAAAAAGCACAAGTTGTGCAAGAGTTGAAGGGAAAAGAGGCTGCAGAAAAGGTCCCAGAGGCTCAACAAGAAGCTCATGAAGAAGAAGAACCTCGAGATGCGCTTGCAAAGGCGCTTGCTGAGGAGGCGGATCGGTTGGAGCGAGCTGGAGCTGGAACAGAAGCTGAAGCACAATATGAATCAATTGCTTCAGATTTTATTCCCCTTTCCGAATTTGGCCAATTCAAACCAGAAGAAGGAGGGATCAAGCCCAAACCAGGTTTCCAAGACGAACGCATCCAGTCCAGGAGCGTCTCCGTTGCGGCTCTTGGGGAGCAGATTGAGGCAATCATGTTGAAGAACCCCAACGAAATGAAGAGACCAAAGAGGCCTGCGCGGAGGATCCAGGACAAGGCACCGGAAGCCAAAGTAAAGCTCGATGCCGAACGAGATCTCATGATGGAGGAAGTCGAGGAGAACAACGAAGAGGCACTGGAAGCTGCGCTGAAGCACATTGGCGACCTGCGGCCTGCCGATCGGACAATTCTTCCCTCCAAAGATTTTGATGCTCTGGCGAATGCCCTGTTGGATGGCTTCAAGTCCAGTCAACTCACCAGATACTATAACCGGGAACGCCTGACAGCACACAACCAAAGCTTGCAGAAGCCGCCTTCGTATTCTTGGGTTGATGACCAAAGCCGCTGGGAGCCCGCCAAACCCGACCACTGGGGGCCTCTTAGGCCTAAGCAGCGCCAGGTGATTCTGATTATGCAAACCCTCTGGAATCTCGAGGTCAAGGAGCAAGTCGAGGGCCTCGGCAGGACTCTTGTCTGGCTGGAGCCTCGCATCTTCCAGCTGCTCGCTTGTAAGTCATATATATGAAAGGCTAATTCTCTATACCACGTTAGACCGGACTTGCTTACACTCCCCCGTCCTTTTAGCTCCCAATAGCTCCATCCTAGAGCAGGTCTCGAAAGACTACTTGTACGAATCCAACAAGGAGAAGATTACTGCAAGCTTCGATGACTGCCGGATCAACATTTATGCCCAAAAATCGACTGTCCCCGTCATTCTCTCCCATCTTGATGAGACTGTCAAATCGATTCGTCACCAGAAGGTTTCCTCTACTCACATCGAAGAAAATGACCTGGACGAGCAGCTACTCAAAGAGCTGGAACAAATTACAAAGACATGTATCAAGTACAACAAGGGCGATAAAGTATGCTTTGAATTGCCGCCCTCATCCCTCTTTTTGCAGAGCTAATGATACAAAATAGGAGCTTGAAATCTCATGGCTTGAAAGTCAAACCCCATCTTCATTGCCCGAAAGCACCAAGAACATAGAAACCCCGGCTGATATCGCTCTGCGGCTACTACTGGAGCAGCCGAGCAAAGACGACCAAAACAGCGTGCATATTATAACGCCATCAGAAGTTGACAAGGCCAGGGATGGATCTTTCATTAGCCACCACAGAGAACGCAGGAGTATGCGCTGGAAGGATAAGCTGAAGCCGTGGTCTAGATATGTCCACCCCGTCGGTCAAATCACCACCGCAACAGACAATGTCTTGGAACACCTACTTGAGGCAGTCTCTTTACCCGCTTCGTCAAATTCCAAAGCCAAGAAAGAAGCTGAATCGGTAGTTACGACGGCATCCTTTGGACATGTCCTTCATGGCAAGGGTTCCCGCACGGTTGCTACCATGGCCAAACACCGCCGACTTCTCTCTCCAGTCCTCCCTCACCCTGCATCGTTTACCACCATTATGGGCGAAGATAAACCTCTGACACAGCGCACAACCATCACCCTCAATTTCTCTCCCGACCCCCAGCATCATTCCAATGACACAAACTCAACGCTCCCCAGCGTCCAGCTGCAGCTACCTGTTGATCCCGTCACCGACATTGCCGACTCTTCCCTCCCTTCTGGTTCGACTCTCTTTGGCGTTGCCGCACATTCCGTCAGCGACATCCTACTGCCCAGCGAAAGCGTAGACATTCGCCTGACGCAGCAGCGTCTCCTGCCGCTCGACGCGAGCCAAGAATCCATCAAAGAATTCCTATCTCACTGCGAGTTCGACCTCCCAAAAGGCATACTGAGAACACCCAGCAAAATCACATTTTCAATCCCCAAAGCATGGGCCGCCGACCCAAAGGCAAAACGCAAGCCTTCCAAAACGGCCACCGTCAACGCCCCGTACATTTTTATGGGACTGGAGACGCACCAAATCGCCGAGATTGAGTTCCATGGCCACACTCTACGCTACGATGGCATCGATGCGGGTCGCCACGGTGGCCAGAGACAGGAGCTGTCTCTTCAAGCCGGTCCTCCTGTACGAGGAAGCGACGGAGAGCAAGACAAGACCCCTTTCGAGCTGAACGAAAAAGAAGCATCTGCATTCATATCTTTAGCCGGAGAGATAGCCACAGGGAAGTATTTCTCGTGGCACAACGGCTTTGAGTTGGTGAGAGAGCTTTCAGACGAGACACTTGGCTTTGATGAGCTGGAGGTGCTTGATGACGAAGTAATCGATCAACAGCCGTCGTCATTAGAGGCTGAATATCCTGGGGATGCCCAGAGCTCAGAATCTGAGCTTTTGTCACCGCCTGAGCAGGATAAAAGCTCCTCTACGATGACTGATCCAACATCTGAAGGTGCATCTTCCGCCTTCCAGAGCAGCACTACCAGTGAATCGACGGATACCTCTGAAGCTCTCAACAACCCTACCGATACCAAAGACTCATAAACTCCCATGAGCACAGAAATTTCCCCATGATATTTAGCAACATATCTCATTATAACAATTGTTCATTTATTGTTCCTTGTAGGTTGAAAGCGGGAGGCATTTGGATGCGCCAAACGAGAAAAAAAGAAGGGCATATAAGGATGGCGCGGCCATTGGCGTTTTGGATGAAGCAGCGATTCCCCTCTTACGATGTACTTGTACACATATATACACTATATACACATGCATGCTGCAGATGATGAAATTTGAAGGCTTTTCAAGGATTTTGTACGAGTAGGATGACCATAGAATATCTCATGAGTAATCTGCATTGTTGCCACGTACGGACGGCCACCATTTTACTTGTGCTCTCTTCCAACTTTTTCCTCAGCCTCGTCATCAAAAGTGTCAGCCGCGCGGGGCTTACAGCGTATTCAGCGGGTATAGTCACCTATCAGTAGCGCTAACAGCGCTGAGATCGCTGAGACTACAGGGGAGCCATGGATTTCCAGGGAGCAGCACAGGAACAAACGAGGAGCGGCTACAGGGGCGCTACAGCGTAGGTCTACGTAGAGGTCGGTGCATCACGACAAATTTCAGAGCATCACAGACAATCAAGAGTGCACAAGTAATTTGGTGGTCGAAGTCAGTCAATTGAACTTCTATCTAAATTTTTTTTCCCTTTGTTTTGCATTCCCGGAGAAGTTTTGATGGAACCCATATTCCCAGCCTCTCAATTAACGTGCCTCGATTCATAGTCGAGAACTCATATGCATAGCAACATTGATCGTTTCGTCGTAGAAGTGAGCGCGTGGTGCCCCGCTGGGAGAAACCTCACGAGGGACCCCAGAACATCAGGTTTTGATGATGGTGGGTATCGCTTATTTCTTGGCGGCCTTGGCGGCGGACTTGGTGACCTTGCCGGTAGCACCAGTGGACTTCTCGACGGACTTGATGACACCGACGGCGACGGTCTGGCGCATGTCACGGACGGCGAAACGACCCAGGGGAGGGTAGTCGGTGAAGGCCTCAACGCACATGGGCTTGGAGGGAACCATCTTGACGATGGCGGAGTCACCAGACTTGATGAACTTGGGGGAGGCCTCAGTAGCCTTACCGGTACGGCGGTCGATCTTCTCGAGGAGCTCAGAGAACTTGCAGGCAATGTGGGCAGTGTGGCAATCGAGGACGGGAGCGTATCCGGCACCGACCTGGCCAGGGTGGTTCATGACGATGACCTGGGCGTTGAAAGAAGCGGCACCCATGGGGGGGTCGTTCTTGGAGTCACCGGCAACGTTACCACGGCGGATATCCTTGACGGAGACGTTCTTGACGTTGAATCCAACGTTGTCACCGGGGACACCCTCGACGAGCTGCTCGTGGTGCATCTCAACGGACTTGACTTCAGTGGTGACGTTGGAGGGAGCGAAGGTAACGACCATACCGGGCTTGAGGATACCAGTCTCGATACGGCCGACAGGGACTGTTCCAATACCACCGATCTTGTAAACATCCTGAAGGGGAAGACGGAGGGGCTTGTCTGTGGGACGCTTGGGGGGCTCAATGGCGTCAATGGCCTCGAGAAGGGTCTTGCCGGTGGACTTGCCAGCCTTGGTCTCCTTCTCCCAGCCCTTGTACCAGGGGCAGTTGGTGGAGGCAGCCAACATGTTGTCGCCGTTGAAGCCGGAGATGGGGACGAAGGCAACGGTCTTGGGGTTGAAGCCGACCTTCTTGATGAAGTTGGAGGTCTCCTTGATGATCTCAAGGTAACGAGCCTCGGCCCAGTTGGCAGTGTCCATCTTGTTGATGGCAACGATGAGCTGCTTGACACCCAGGGTGTAGGCGAGCAGAGCGTGCTCACGGGTCTGGCCATCCTTGGAGATACCAGCCTCGAACTCACCAGTACCGGCAGCGATAATCAGGATAGCGCAGTCAGCCTGGGAAGTACCAGTGATCATGTTCTTGATGAAATCACGGTGACCGGGAGCGTCTACAGAGCGGCACGTTAGAATCTTGGTCTCCAAGTATCAATGAGGAAAAGCGAAAACATACCAATGACGGTGACATAGTACTTGGGAGTCTCGAACTTCCAGAGGGCAATGTCGATGGTGATACCACGCTCACGCTCGGCCTTGAGCTTGTCAAGAACCCACGCATACTTGAAAGAACCCTTGCCGAGCTCGGCGGCTTCCTATTGATTGAAGCATGATTAGCACAATGAACCACACAGAGATGGAGAAGACGATGCAATTGAGTACAATTCGTTGGGACGGGACAGTGGCGATAGCGGGGTTGCAGCCAAACAAAAAAAAGTTGGCACCCCACTAAAAGCCAAGCAAGGCAGCCAGAAAATTTTGCTGTGCCAAAGGAGGGGTAGACAGGTAAAGCGGGGTGTGATGCTGCGAGGAAAAAAAATGACAAGACTGAGGACAGAATTGTCGGACACGATTGTGCTCAGGGAGCGGAGTGAAAAAGCAGAAATGAGCTTACCTTCTCGAACTTCTCGATGGTACGCTTGTCAATACCACCGCACTGGTAGATCAAGTGACCAGTCTGTTGGGAAGATGTCAGCTGGATGCGTTCATGATGATGATACCCCGCGCCGACCGACAGAGTCGATGGCTGTAGGGCTCGAGGGATTGGGAGTTACTCACGGTGGTAGACTTGCCGGAGTCGACGTGGCTGTTGTAGCAAGTCAGTATTGGAGTCGATCGAAAGCTGTCTGACGGAGAAATACGAACCCCTAGACGATGATGGTCAGCAAAATGTCATACACAGCAGTGTCAACGGCAGAGAGAATGCCGCTGACGAAGGGAATGAGGATTGCAAACTTACGATGACGACGACGTTGATGTGAGTCTTCTCCTCCTTACCCATTTTGGCGGTTGTTGAAGTTTTGTGTGGGAGTTGATGAAAAGTTCTTGACTAGAACGTCTGCAGAGGAGAGCGAGAGTCAGCTGGTGATGCACAAACGACGAAGACGATGAAGATGATGGCGATGAAGCTTTCTGATATGAAAGACTGAATCACCGTCGCCAAAGGGCAGAAGAGAGGCGGCACATACAAATTCGCAGATCGGATGCTTGAACCGGGTATGCGAGACGAAGAGCAGAAGAAGAGAAAAATTCGAAAGCAGATGGTGGGAGGAGGAGATTTAAAAGGTGGTGGGCGGAGAGGGGTGCAGGCGCTAAGGCTGCTCTTTTTTTTTTCTGCCACGCGGGGCAGCCAGAGAAAAAAAAAAGCCTGAGGGAGGGGCAAAAAGAGTGGCGCCCGCTCTCATGGCCTAGCCCTAACGAGCGAGCCCCAGCCAATGAGGTTGCCGCTCACTTTTTTTTCTGCTGCACACCCGCTAGTTTTTTTTTTTTCTTGGCCTGAGCGCCTCTAGTGGCTCTGGGACCCGCAGGCCAATGGGCTGCTGCGACGAGGAGCTCGAGGCCTGCGATCTGGTATGATCACGGTGGGAACGTGTACTGTAAGTTTTGTTGACCCGGGGCTAAAGATTTTTTTTTTTTTTTTTTCTTACGGCATTACGGTAAGGATTTGTTGGTGAGCTCAATGGGTGGTGCTCTCAGATGGGTGGCCAGGTGCCTTCAGGAGAGAACCGATTGATGCAGTGCGCGTGGCCTCGATACGGCCAGTGGACGTGCTGCGGTGGCTACAGCGCATGCATACGGCTAGGGACTGCTGTGAAGCAAGTAACGGGTACATTATCGCACCACCATCATCGGCCACCTTGTTTGCCTCAGTTAGAGTAGAGTCACTGGCATATTTCGATCCTTTCTTCGTATTGCCTACCATCATCTTGTCTTTGAATATAGTTTCGGTATGACACAGAGCAGGCAGACCGCAGAGCAATAGGAAGCAATCCGCGACTTTCGGGCCTAAAGCGTCTCAGCAGCGAAAAAAAAAACTGATACAGTTGAGACTCTTGCGGCTGACCTCTCACTGCCCAATCCACCCACACTCAGGCTGCTGGCGCGCGCCTGATTTTGCCCAACTCGCCGCTGTGCTTTTTAGGTTTCCTGGTTAAAGTACAGCTACTTGCTATCTCTCCATCTCTGTGTGTGTTGTCTCTCTGAGCTTTGTTACACTAAAGGAACGTGAACTGAGTCAACGGCGGTGAGAGTCGGAGGTGAGAATCCGGACTGTGATACACATTTGCGGCAAGGAGCGGACACAACTGTAAAAAAAAGACATCAAGGTGTCAAGGCGTCAAACAGTCAGCCATCTTCTACATGGCTGTTATCCGTCTTGCCGTCTGAGCAACTCGTATCATCCTCATGTGCGATATCCATTCTTGCCTCCATCGTGGCTCCGCTATGCAGCAGCTCCTGATACTGCACCCCTGTAGGCTGCAACCAGAGCCGTTTGCCTCTTCAACTTGAATTTTTTTTCTTTCTTCTTGACTCTTCCCGTTCTTACCCCTCCATATCGTCGCAGCCCCTCCATTCATCTTCACCCAAGCCCACTATGAAACGTCAACCACCCCACTTCATGCGGTTCCATCCCTTCCATCACCCGCTCGCCACCGCAGCAAATTTTCATATGCTTCCTTTTATCGAGGTGTCATCAATGCCCATCTTCCTCTTGCTGTGCAAACGCCGAGCCGAAGACACAGCCAAAATGGAGCTCGTATATCAAATAGCTACGGTAGCCGTAGAAGAGGCGATACAAGATGTGGGTGCATGCACGCCGCTCCAGGCAGCTCTCATGCGTTATCTCCATATCGGTAGCTTCCCAACTCCCTCCCTGTCACCACATGCATTCAACCATGAAAATCAGATTTACGATGCCTTAGCTCAAGACGCATCCTCGGCCAGCAGTACCGGTACATTGGCCCGGCCTTTGGAGGCCAATTCAACGCCACATTTGCAGTAGCTCGTAGCGGTTTAGCACCGGTCTCGTTAGCTGAGGTGGAGCCATCCGTCCCGTCGCTGTTGGCATAGCTGAAGCTTAAGTTGAGCTACCAACAAGGGAGCAGCTCGGTGTGACTCTTCATTATTTCATGTAGAAAGCCAGTTGAGGCTGAGCACCTGTCTGTGCCTATCCAAGAACTAGAGGCAAATCACAAATCACACCCCTTTCGTATGTATGCGGGATCTGCCTAGGTAGTGTAGGGTGGCAACCGGACGAGGAACAAGGACGGACACTACTGAAACCCACTCAACAGGACAAATCTCTATATATCTAAATAATTTTGCCGTATATTTTCTGACGTATGTTTCAGAAAAATGTTTCGATATTGCTTTGTATGAAGAAAGCTTGCTTTGAGCAGCTCATTCTATTTTCTCGCTTGGCATCCAGCTCTGGCCTCACACGTCTGTCTCCTACCAAATCGACACACGTCTCGCGTTGAAGCGCCGCCTCTGGTGGTATCTCCAATGCAAAATTGAAGATGTTTTTCTATTCTTCAGGTAACTCGGCTATATATCCATCTTTGGAGCACTCCCCAGCTCATCAATTGACCTTTGAAAAAGCTGAGTCACCCAGGTTCTTCCTCGCGAAACAGGGTACATGTACTAGTAGCTATCGAGCTGAGGCTGCTACTTGTGTCACAGGGCGGTGGAATGAGTCTCTCAGATATGGCAATTGGATGGTCCATTGCTGCCTGGCTAATTATCCAGGGCGCGTCCTGGAGTATGAACAGCTATCAGCATTCTACTATTTCTCAATGGCCACCGGCTTGAAGAATGACCTCCTACAATGCTACGCAATAATCGAGGCTCTTCAAAGGAGTGCAAGATCCTCCTTTCTCATATGCCTACCTAGGAGTAGCAGCGAGATTGGGTCTGTCTATAGGCATGTCCCTGGCCGTAATGGCTTCCTGGCTACAGCGTTGGCAGCGCTGGAAGGAACTTGTTGGGCAACAGCCAACCCCAAAAGCAAAGTCGGTGCCACCTTGAAGCATCCGACAGCTGCCAGCTGCCGTCTTTTTCGCCCTGCCCCTTATATACCCAAATACAGGTCTCTCCTTCCAACAAAGGGAACTGCTATTCCGAATGGTCTAGTGGTTCCAGCCATCGCCCGTATAGAGTAAGAGCAACTCGTTGGACTCCTATTCTCTCAGCGTAGGTGACAGCCAAGGATCCTGGTGCAAATCCGGGTGCGGGCATGCGGCTGTTCGACTTTCCGTCGAGCCCTTCTTTTTTTCCCTTTTGCTCTCTCTACTGCCTCTTTTTTTTCTCTGCACCCACGCGTGAATGAATTTTGAGGCCTTGGAGATGTCGTAGCATTGCTTGCTGTCTTTGATATTTACCTCTAGATACTCACCAGGTCGTGACATCCCAGTCCCCGTCACAAGTGCGAATCATGTACCTTCCTCGTACTACTAACTGTCCTGATACACTCAGATCGCGTACCTGAGGCACCAGACTCTCACGATGGCACGCACGCTCTGCCTTTTGAAATTTGCAAGGTTACTCTGCCTGTACTGCGTACCTAGGTAGCTAATTACATCCATGTACCGAGAAGCTGTTTACCATCTTCTCCTTGTCTCTTCATTAATCGTTTCTATCTATTCATCTATTTATTTACATTGCTCGCGGTATTGACTATCTGCATGTGCTCTGTCTCTCGTCATTTCGACAATCTCCTCCATGCTTGCTACTTCCTTTTCTTGACCATGCCTCATGAGAAGTGAGCCATCATCAGTGCGTCTCGGAAAGAGAGGAGCAGAGAGAGGGAGAGAGGGAGAGAGAGAGAGAGAAATAAAGAAAAAGTAAAAGAAATCTGGCCTTTATTGGCTCTTCTTCTCACTTGGCTTCGCTCGAACTAATCCCTTGGGAGTCTTCAATCCCGCAAAAGCAATAGTGACAACCACCAACGCGCCCATCGCGCCCATAGTATACGCATATTCTCTACCAGCCCACCAGTATACGCTGGTGCAAAGAATTGGCCCCAGCCCACGTCCCAGCTGGCCCCAGCTTCGCATGATGCCCAGCTTGACGCCGTGTTCGTGGTCGCGAGTCTCGAAGCTGCTGAGAGCATTGAGGCCCGTTACAACCGTTGCCGATGTGACGGCAAGGCAGGTTGCCGCAGCGTATAGGCCGCCGACGGTGGAAAGACGACCGAGCAGAACAAAGGCTGCAAAGCAGGCGACGGTGCCAATACGGACAGACAAGAGGGGGGAGAGCCTGCGAGTGACGCCTCCCTGGAGGACAGAGGCCACCAGACCAATATAGCCAAGAAGCCGTCCGTTTCTCCCAGAGGTGAACTGGAACAGGTCATAGGTCATAAATGACAGGGACGTCTCCATTCCAGAGAAGAAGAGGAGAAAGACAAAATGCGTGGCGTAGAGCAAGACGCGTGAGTTTGTCCGTTCCACCTCTTTGGACGGCGCCGTCTTCTCTCCACCGTTTTTGCTAGGCTGTTCCTCCCGAGTCTTGTCCTTGCCGGCCAACGACGGAAGAGTTTCCGGCAGACAAAAGTACAGGTACACCGTCTCTGTAGTAATCAGGAGCAAGCTGAATCCTGCTGCCACAGCAAATGGGTTTGCGCTTGTCATCGGAATCTTGCTCAGCCACGCCCCCAGGCCGGGCCCGAAAGTAAAGGCCACCGAGAAGCATGCGCCAATGATTGCCATTGTTGATCCTCGCGACTGCTCGTCCGATATGTCGCTGGCCATGGCGGTGGCAATCTGCACATTGCCTTCCGAGAGACCACCCACGACTCGGCTGGCCAGAAAGGTACGGAAATCGACTGCCATGACCCAGAGCAGCACAGACAAAACGTTTCCGCACATGGATGCCAAAAGAGCATAGCGGCGACCGTAGCGATCAGAAAGACGGCCGATGATGGGGGAGGCGATGGCCTGCAGGATGCTGTAACCGCATTCTATTGTCAGTAGCCCCCCTCCAAAATCCATGTACAGGATGAGCACTCACGAGAACAGAGACCCCAGCGCTCCACCCAGAAGAACAATGTCATATCGGGAATCGATGGGTCGCGAAAAGGACGCCTTGTACGCATTCAGCCCTCCGAGCACCTGCTGAAGGAGAGTCTTTGGTTTGCCATGGACGATCAGGTCGGGAGCCTCGCGATCTCGGTAGAACTCTAGAAGTTTCGGGAACAGGGGCAGGATGAATGTGAAGGATATCTGGTTTCCTCATGAATTAGCAA